AATCGTTCCAATTGAATTGAGGCTAGCTAGTCGGTCGTATTATTTTCGTACGATTCAAAATGGTTTGGAGAGGGGGGGGGGGGGCAATGGGCAATTAGTTAACAAGATCGTTCATATATCAAAATGGGGGGAATAGTTAACAATATTTCTCCAATTTTCACACTTGATCTTTGGTATTGTCCAAAATTTATAGTGCTTCACTTTTGTTTTTACTCAAAAAACTTTTCAATGTAGAATAAGGGGCAGTCGGAATATTCAAGGGGTTTCCCTGATAAATGATCAGTCGTTTTTGTGTTTGAGTATGCATGGAAATACAGTTATCCAAATAATTAAGAAGTAGAAGCAAATGATTCATGGCCGTGAAGGCTGCACTTAAAATTTTGTAATACTCAAAGATCTAATTTGCAATGAAATGCTTTCAAATATTTTTGCTTCCCCCATTTGAATTTTTAAACGTTTTGCTGCTTGCTTATACAACAGACAGTTTCGCCTCTCATTTATATGCTGTTCGAAGTTTCTGTTCCAAGTGATTAGATAAGAAATTCCTAAGTTTGTACCAAAATTAATTTTGGAGACTTAGTTGGATTGTTCAACATTTACGCGAAAATAAACCGGTTTTAACTTTTGTGAACTTATAACAAAATAAGCATCTAAAAAACCCAGGAAGGAGGGGCATCAAGATTGTTTTCCCTTGTGTTCTATTTCATACTGCAGAAAGTAACACGTATCTTTTGCCTGTCAGGTTCAGCTACAAGGCAAAATTTTTCTCGAGTAATATATCCTTTATTTTTGTTAAGACTAATTAAAAATAGATTCCGCTTTGCTTGAAATCAATCAAAGCGATCAAACAGGTGCAATAGTTTGATCAGACTATTTGAATACAAACAAGACTGTCGTATCAAATGTTCCGACTGCCCACTAAGGTTTATGGAGCAGTAATATCATTAAAAAATTCAAAGTAATAAAACAAAATGAAATTTTTTTTTCTTCAAAAATTTGATTTTTTTTAAAAATCATCACCCCACACGCCATGTAAAGTACAAAAAGATAAATTTCGCTACTTGTAACAAATCAATTATGGCAAATAAGCTTCGTTAAACCAAATTGGATCGATTTCTAAGACGGATTAACTCTCCGCTTACGCGTTAAAAGCGCGAAATATAGCGCGCGGTAATTGTCCCAAATTTGCCAAAATGGCAATTTTTAAACCCACATAACTTTACATAAAATGATCACAGCTGAAATATTATTTCACATTTGCGCTCAGGACAACAATACCTTTCGAATGATAACCAAAAAATTCCGTCAAAAATGGCTAGTTAAAAAGTCGAATTTTGTCTGAAGAAAAAAAACCCACCCCGAGCACAAATATTCCGTTACTTTCGTATCGAAAGTCGGAACAATAAGCCACGTTAGTTCTAACAGAAAATTTTTGCTGTTTTGCGCAAAATGCGCAAAATCGTGTTTGGATTTTTCGTTCCTGTAAAGGGTAACTATTCCAATTTCCGAAGAAAAAGAAAAAATATTTGAGCCCGGGATGGTTGTTTCTGCAGACATTTTTGACTGATTTTTTTAAAACTGTTCTAAAGGTATCGCTGTCTAAAGCTCAAATTTATATTTTTTTGTACCTGTGATTAGTTTTCGTGAAATTATGAGAGTTTACGGATTGACCTTTTAGGATAATTAAGGTGCGGTGCCTATTTAATACTTTGATATATGCAATTATATCAAACTATACTCTAGATAGAGTGCGGGGTATAATTTTTGATAACAACCTCAAATTTTTTTTTGAAATTTAATCTAGTTTTTTTTTTGAAAATAATCAACATGAATAAATCAAAAAGAGCACTCTTGATAATAATTTTGGTTATGCTGAAACCCAGCTTCCATTGATTCTAAATTGCAGTGGGAACAACCGGGACTTCGCCCTCATACGAGCAGTCTTAATTCAATTTCCAACTCTGTGCCAGGTATTTTGAAAAGACATGATGGCCATGTTTTTTTGAGTCTTCGCTATAAGTGTGAGAAACTAAATCCAACCTATACCGAGTCATGTTTGAAAAAAATAAGTCTTATTGTTTTTCAAAGGTAATTTTCTAATGCAACGTTAGTTAAAGCAAATTAAATTCATCTTCATAAATCACCAATTTCATTGAATTTTTTTATTCAGAATGAACACTTTTTTCCGGGAAACACTACTCCGCCCTGTTTATGTAATAATTAAAAAATAGGAAGGACTTATCTATAAGAATACAGCCCTCTGCTTTTTTGCTCTAATTAGAGAAATAATGAGGAGGATTACCTTGAATATTCTACAGTTTTTCACAGTGTTTTCCCTGATAATTAACAAAAACAGCGCTTTTTCAAATTTGAAAGATTAAAAATTTTATTGTATTAAGTTAATCTCAGCAGTTTGCAAAAATTGGTTTCTTTTCTTTCTATGCCAATGAAAATAAAATGGCAGGCAAAGTATTTCTTTCTTCTGCAATCAGCAATGCTTCTTCTGGGAAATGCTGATAATATGATGCAATTTGGGCTCAAAGGAACAAGTTGAATTTTTAATTTTTGTTTCGACTATTGGAAATGGGGAATTCGGGTCTGTTTAAATTTTGTTCTTTTTTCCACGCCACATCAGCTACCACAAATAGTCATCAGAAAGAGTTGAGTCATACATCATATTAAAACCGTTTCCCACGTGATTCACTGCATTTGCTGTGAAAAATAAAGAACTAAGCGTATACTAGGTGTCCTACAACTCAACTATGGAAACCTTGTTTTAAAAGATGACTTACACCTTTTTAACAAAAATTTTCAAAAAACATAAACAAATGCACGTTTTGTTTTTGGTTTAAATTTGTGAGGATTTTTTTTGTAAAATACGGTTACTATACTATTGAAAATGGGGTTCTAGTTTTTCATTCAGGTTTTATTAAGCTATCGATTATCCTTATGTCATTGGCTGTTAGCTAGTTAAAAATTTCATAAGTTTGATGAACAAATTAAAAACTTCTTTTTTAATTCAATGTTTTTGCGGAAAAATTTTAAAAATTTGATCAGGTTCAGAGTTTTTTGACATTTTTTTGATCAAGCCCTTCAAATTTTTGCAGAGAATTTAGGCAGTGCAAACGCATTATTTTTGAATGAAGTTCAAGCTGCTCTAGGATGAATCAAGAGCAATCAAACCGGAATAATTTAAGGGCTTGCGATAATTATTTTCGGTCACAGATAGTAAATGCTGATTAATGTCTGCATTTTACTAGTCTACTAGTGTATTTTAAATGAAGATCATGCATAGCACTTGCAAAAAAAGTGCAAGTCTTGAACATTTTTCGCAAGACCTAAATATAATTTCCCGAAAAACATCAGGGTTTTTGATAAATGTTTTCGTTGATAGATAGAAAGGTGTTGAACATCCTTAGTGTACTTGCAATGCAGATATTGCAACTTTTTTGCCAAAATGTGCAAGTCTTGATGAAGAATGCAGTAATTCTGCAAGATTGTCATTTTAGTGTAGAATGCAAACCTTTCTTGATTCTTGCGAGATTCTTGTAAAATTTACACTCTCTTAACCACTCAGTTTTTTTGAAGATATATAATTACAGCATTTTGCGTAAACAATTTAGTTTGCACATTTACCTCTGTTCCCCAAAATATTTGTATCTTAATCAGCATTAAAAAAATTCTGATTGCTCACACAATTAACTTTTTTTTAGTTAGTAACTCTGATCTACTTAATTTGAAAAAAAGATGCTTCGGAATGATAGACATATCTTTCAGAACATCGAAACAGCTTTACAGACTAGCAGAATTTTTCAAATACGTTTTTTTTGAAAAAAAAATGCAGAAGTTTGCATTTTTTTTTCAAATAAAGCGCAAATCTTGGAAGAATTTTGCAAATTTAATGCCAAATTCCCAGACTATTGCAAGAAAAAAAATTTCCAAAAAAATTGATTTTGAACAAGTTTGCTGAAGTTTGCTTGTTGGCTTCTATTGACTTGATTTGATGTTGTAGCAAAATAAAAACGGCTTTTTGTCAAAATTTTTTTGAAGCATTTGTTTTTAACTTTTAGTTTACAAAGAATATAGAACTACATAGTTAAAAAGCAGAAGCTCTTTGCAAGCGAATTGAGGACAAAACATTTTCACACGTAAAACACAACTTTTTGCAGCAAAACTTTTTGCCATTGAAAACTTCATTGAGTCATCATGACAGGACTCTCAATGAGTACCGTTTAAATTATTTTATTATTAATTTTTCAAAATCAACCAAAAAATAATTTAAATTGGAAAAAAACTCAAAATTTCACAAAAAAGAACTGAATGAAAGTTCAGTTAGTAAATTAAAAACCAATTTCGAAATGTGTTTGAAATCAAAGCTAGTACTGCTTTGGAACTAACGCTTCCCAGTCATGATTGTTACATAGATTCAGTTGGATATCTCGTTTTATACCCTGAGGTATTTACTTATAACCTGAGAAAACTGAAGAATGTAATGGTAGGCGGGCGGGTATTGGTGGAATATTTTTAGAAATCGGAAGAACAAGAGTCACAAAAGTTCGTTTTAAAAATCAAAACTCCCCATTTCTTGATTAACAACCTTAAGATTACTGACAAAATTATGCTGATTGCATAAATTTGTTTAATCAATACGCACTTGAGACTACAAAAAAGTTGGGCATAACAAGCTGTTTTCCCATCCACTGTGCATAAAATTTTAGCCATAACAGCATTAATTGCTACCTATAAACAAATCAGTCCTTTGAGATGGTCCCAGGTCCCAAAAAATCACACAAGAGAAGAACTTTCCAATGGGGAAGAAACTTTTCTGAGGAAACCGCAAGAAATATATTCGAAAATGTTTGTTTTGCAGTGAACGATTTTTTTGCTGCTCAAACTAATTTTTCAATGGTGAGGAAACTGTTGCAAGGAACATTGTAAAAATATCTTCGAAATTGGTCGTTTTGCAATGAGTGCTTTATTTTTGCTGCTTGGTCTGACAGAACGACTTCCAGTTGGTGATGATGCGCACTCAAAGCAACCTCAGCAGACAAGTGGTCATCCTTCTCAGCTCCATTTTCTGCATATTCATCACGTGGTAAGACCCAGATGAAGCTGGAGAAGAGAAAAACAGAGTAAAAATAAGTAGACTGCATGATGCATGTCGGTCGCTTAACGAGCCATCTTTCGTTGATCTAATGACTCGAAGGCATTGAAACTCATTCATCGTCACGCTTCTGTGACCTACATGAACCCATTTGGCTTGATTGATGCCAATGGTGAATGCGTGTTGAAAGTCACATCTGAAGAAAGGATTGGGCATTACCATTAATCCCTGGATTGAGATCAAGTTATGCGGTGTTTTGTCTGAACTTACCCGTAGCAACGTTTGATTTGCATTTAACGTTTTGTAAGGTTGAGAAGCTCCAATTAATTGTTTGCGTTTTTTATAGAAATGTTTTAGTTTCCTTCTTAAAATCAGCATGTGTATGAGCATATTGTGTCTTAAGTAACTTCTGTTCTCATTTAATTGCATGTTGCATGTTTTAATTGTCTTTTTTCTGCATGGTATGCATGGTATGTGTGTGTTTAGGTTCTCTATTATGACATCAGATCTTCAGCTGACCTCGAAAACGTTTCCTTCATTTTCTTCCTGAAGTTTTTCAACTTCTGCATTTGCTATTTGTTCACATGGCACGTTTGTTCACTTCAAATATTGGAAGAGAATTTTGTTTCGACAACTTAAAAGCTCGGGAAACAGGAGAAACTGAACAAAAAACAAGATCTTGTTCACATGCTTTCGTTCCTGACAAAATGTTAGTTAGAAATTGATAGAAAACGTTTAAATTACAATGAAAACTTGAAATTTATGCCATTTGGGAAAAGTTTCCATGTTTATGCCATTTGGGAATTATGCCATTTGGGAAGTTACCGAAAGAGAGAACTTGTTTCAGTCTCTTGGACTGCTTGAATCCGGTTTTAGTTAAATTAAAAAATACCAGAAGTCGTGAACAAACTAATCAGGGTCACGTTTTGTTGTGAACTAGCACTTGTACAATTCAGTGGTTAGAGCGGGCAGGTTACTTCTACGAAGAGTTTACACTCTTCAATGCTTTCTGGTTTGCCACTGTGACCTTGGCAACTGTGGGGTTCGGAGACATGACTCCCACTTGGAATGCGTCCAAATTTGTCCTCATCATTCTCATTTTACTGGCGCTCTACTTTTTACCCTCTGAGGTTAAGCATAGCACCAATGAAACCAAAATATCAAAAATTGAAGTCCATGAAAAGCTGGCTCTCTAATTTTCTTCAAGGGAAACAGCTAACCCTTTTTAACTGCCTGTTTATACTATCTAACAATGTGCATGATTTTATCTCTCCCTTTTGATTTCTTAGTGATTGAACAGTTTGCTTGCTTTCAATTTTTCTTATGCTGGAGATCTTTAAGTACTCTAACTAATCTAATGACTAAAACTAGCTTTTCGAAAAGTTAACAATTGGCAAATTCTTTAATCAGACTGTATTTTTCTCTGCTTGTTTCCAGTATGTTTGGCATCCACTATTTGGAGAGAGCCAACGACCAACACCAGAAGTTCTCAATCGCCAACTCCCTCTGGTTTGTGGTCGTCACTTTCTCCACCGTCGGCTACGGAGAATTCGTGCCCTCCTGGGTGCCTTCTAGAATGTTCGTGGCTGTCACAATATGCGCCGCTCTTATGGTCATACCCATACAAGTAAGCAATCGGTATCACGGTCATACTAGGGCCATGATACATCCCACCGCCTAGGTATATTTTTTCAGGTTTCTTGCGCGTCTTTCAAGTATCTAGTTTTGTTTTAGACCCTGCAGTTAAGTTTGGCTTTAATGAAAATTGTTGTTATGTACTTTTCTGACCAGAAGCATTGAGTAAAATTAGAATTAAAACCGGAATGTCACTTGTAGGTTTTAAGTTCAAGTGGATTAAAAGGCTGAAACAAAGTTGACCAAAAAAAATTGAAATGTCGTTTTTTACTTTATATTACCTAGAAAGCTGAATGGGATTTTAAAATTTGAAAGCAAAATAAACGGCACTGTTTGAATACTAATCAAGCTGGTTTTCTCTTCGCGAAAATCTTCAGACGCTGACTGCTTGTCTTTTCAACTTTTCTTCAACTCCCCGGGGATTTTGGGAAATCACAAAGGTGTAATTAAACAGGTGCCCGATAATAATTTTTAGCTTTGATTGAATTATGCCAGGAAATTTGAACAAAAGATCAATGTATAATTTTCAAAAAGGTCAAAAAAGAAAAAAAAAACGAGATGAAAGGACATCAATATGAGTAATTTACGGAAACAAACAATCAAAATTTGAATTTTAATTAAATTCTGAAATTTATGGGTTCCCGTTGGTGCAAATCGACTATAAACACGCGGTAAATGCACCCGTCATTTCCCCTTGCCGACTTTTATCGATTTTCAGTGTTCCGGTCACTAAAAGTCTATCCAATTTATGCAAGTTCATTCCAAAATAGCCATTTTACATGATTAATCCTGGTGATCAAAACTCTGGATTGTAAGCTAAAATGCCGAGAACTTCAAGATCAAAAGCCCTTCCCGACATCGTAAGTTTTGCAAAGGAGCCCCTTTCCGTTCGGTTCTATGAATGAGAAAGAATCACTGATTTCAAATTAGTTATTTTTTGGTCTAGTTGGAGAAGATGGCGTTCTACTGGCGGGAGAGGCAGAAGCAGGGCGGCACCTACAGCAGCCACCGGGCGGAGACTGAGAAACACGTGATACTCTGTGCCACCTATCTATCCTCAGACGTGCTCATGGATTTTCTCAACGAGTTCTACGCGCACCCCGCACTACAGGTTGGACTGAGTTAATGAAAGTACGTCTAAAATTGGGCGAAATCAGAGTTTTTGTGTCTCATTTTGATTTCATTTTCAAGAGTTCATATTAGTGCGATTTCTGTCACTCAAATTGGATGATGTATGAAAAAGTTGTCATTGACACATTGCTGTTTTGAACCTTTTAAAAAATTTTGAGAAAAATTTTACGGGTAAAAAAGAACCAAACCGTTGAATCCTAGCTACGCGTCTTCTTTAAATTTGTCTCGGCGATGAAAAAAACGATTGAGGTTGACACAGACTTTTTGAAAGTCGTTTTGTTGATTTTTGAATATCCACTAAAAATTCGGTTCAATCCATCTTTTTTCTTTTCTTTTCAATCTCCGATTTTTATTAGTACTTCAGGGTAGGTTTGCTTTTGAACCAAATTGATCGTTTTTATTAGAAGAGCCTGCAGGCGTGTGCATTTTGAGCTTCTTGTCTGTCCCGCATTTGGAGCATTTGGATTGATTGACAAATATGAACCGACGGGCGGCTGCATTTCTACAATGCACCAAATAGATTAGGGCAGGACAAAATGAGATTCCAGGATGTTATTAAAATTAGTTTTCCGGACTAAGTTTTTTTAGGATTGTTAAAAAATTATATATTATTGGAGAAAGGATTAGAAAACGCTCAAAACCAGGCCTGAAATGAGTTAATTCCTCAGATCTAAAGCTGAAATTTCTTGACTTCTAGCAGCTTTTACCTGCCTGCCTTAAGAGTAAATAAGTCTCTATAATGAAGAAGGATTCATTATGTTGAAAGAAGTCACGAGTCTTGCTGTTTTTGTGCAAACAGAAGATTTTTTGCATAACCTAAGAATTTTGTGTTGTTGCTCTTTTTTTGAGCCGCAAGAGGGACTGAAAGAGCGCAGATGATGGGCATGCTTAATTTATGACCGTCTCTTACTCTATTAGTCTTGCCTGCTTTATGATGCTTCGGCGTAAGAATCACAGTATTTATTCGGCATGTGTCTGAGGTTAAAAGCAAACATGAATACTGGTCGCCAAGTAGTGTTCTGTTTTATACTTCTTAGTGAAATGGTATGAGACGTATGAATTCTTCGTAAGAGCTCCGAAAATTGTTGCGGGGTACTCTACAGTGTAAATCAGTAATTTTGATCAACATTCTTGCGGATGTTCGTCTGGCTTTCGAATATTATGTTCTGTTTTTTTCTCCATACAATACTAGGCAGTGGTGTTCTAAACTGAGTTTGTCAATCTTTTAACTTGAATTCACAAACAGGGAGGCTTTTCTGAAAATTCTAGAGCAGAGCAATCTTTCCCAGAACTTTTTGGGGGTGGAATCTACTGTCTAATACATGAAACATTAGCGGGACTGGCACGAAATTTGTTACTCTACTTTAAGTAGAACCCACGATAAAGAATGTGGAATTCACTAACAGCTGTAAATTTTTTTAGTAATTAAACGAACAGCCTATGACAGATATGACAGATTTCTTAAAAGTTTCAATACCGTTAGCTCAAATGCAAAATTGCTTTCAGATATGTTTTTTTTCTTCGAATTTTTTGTAGCCTTAGATACCGATTCAAAATTATAATGATGAAACATCTGTGCAGTTTTGCTTTCAGAGTCTCAGCTTTTTCTAAGGTCATTAAAAAAGTTTTCGTCTTTTTAACGTTCAATATGTTCTATTTGATTATGACATTCAAAGCCAGGGGCGGATTTAGGGGGGGGGGGACGCCCTCCCCTCAGGGATTCGACCCCTTGCCGACCCAAAGGGTCCCCCCTTTGATACTTTTTCAGAAATCCATTTTTGGCCGACCGACCCTAAAATTTTTCTAAAGGCGCCTTTGGCGCCAATGTATACTTATTTTGAGGGGGAGCGCGCGCCAAAAAAACGCGATTTTTTTGTCAAAATTTTTCAAAAAGTGCCCAAAAACGGCTTTTTTGACTATTTTTTCAAAGCCTGCGGCGCAGAAACGTTTGCCCCAAAATAGGGACAAAACAGTGCTTTGGGAGAGCTCGAAAAATCAATTTGGTCGACCTAAAAAAAAAAAAAAGGTCGTCAAAATTTTCGAATTGTTTTTGAAAATCCGCCCCCCCTCGAGAAAATCCTAGATCCGCCCTTGTTCAAATCAAAGCCATAAGATATTTTTTTATTAATTGAAACTAGAAAAAAAATGTAATTGTCAATTTACTTTTTTTAAGTATACTCAAAAAATTGGTACCTGGGACTATATGTCAACTGGATTATGTCTAAAACTGTCCCTATTCTGTTTAAGTCATTATATTTAAAAAAAAATATGACTGACTTACTGGAAAAAGCGTGATTATCAAAAAATCGCAAACTATTAAGCAAAACGAGCCTAAAATTCTGCAAAAAGAGGCAGCGATTATCTCAAAAAAACATCCGGATTGACCTCGCAGTGCAAATCTGTGTTGTTCTCATAAAATTCGAGAACTGTGTCAGATTCACACCAGTTTCTTTTTAACACTGGTTAAAATTTTTAGAACTGGCCTTTTTTGAGTTTATTGTCTTGAATACAGTGCTGATTTAAATTATCCGGACAAAACGAACAGCATTAAAAGCTTTAAACGCGTTTTTACCAAACTGGATTGGGATTAGACAAAAAGTTTCTTCAATATTTACCAAAATTATATGGTGCAAGTTTTTTTGCGAAATTTGAAAATGAATTATTTTGACTTTTTTAGTCTAAGAAACACGCTAGAGCTACAAAGTCAATTGGTGAGCAAGTTTTATAAAAGTGAGCACCTTACACAGCCCAACATCTGGAATGGTAAAATCTGCAAAACTTTGCGCAAAATACTTAAACTTGTTTTCAAATAAATGTTTTGCATTTTCGGCTTTCAAGGAAAAATGTTCTCTCATACAAATTTTTGAAGATTTTACTCTTTTATATTTTTGTTGAGCTCTGTGAGAGGCTCACTTGCGTATAACTTGCTCATCGATTGACCTAGTAGCTTTAGCGTAATACTTTTTGAAATCAAATAGGGATTCTGAAACAATGTGCGCCATAATAATTTCCGCAAAGTTTGAATTTGAAAATTTGTTCGTTTCGTCCAGAAAATTTAAATCAACACTGAAAGCAGAATCAGTGATGATACAAATATAATTGTTAATTTAGATACTGCAGTTAATTACAACCTGCCTAGATTAATACTCTATATCTTGCAAGCCTCAGTCAAATTTTTACCTCTGGAAGTTTTAGTTTTAAAATTGTGGCTCGTTTGTTGAACATGTCTGAGCGATCTGAAAAACTGTTTGAATCTTTTTTTATCTGCTATTACTTTATAGCTGTGATGACTATTTTTGATCTTTGATTGTTCCATTCATAATCTTGAAAATGGATCGCCCATAGTTGTCTATGTTCGATGCATGTTAGAGATTTGCTATTCTGATCCTTGCCGTAAAAAGGCTGTTTTTTTTTGTTTCCAAGCAGAATTAAGTAGCGCAAATGAGCGTCAGTTTTTGTCAGTGGTCTATCTTTTCAAGCCATTCTAGACGTGCCTCGGGATGCAAAATTTTCGGAAAGATTGTTTCATTGTTCACAAAAGGTGGTCTGAAAAATTTGCTAACAAAACTAATGATAGGCTGATTTCTTTTTCTTCCCACCATTTGAAAAATGGGGAGGAAACTTGTATTCGGGTTCGGGTGTGTTTTAGTTTTTTTTCCACGTCAAATCAGGAACCACAAAAAATTATTGGACTGGGTTGAGTGATATAGCATATAGCATATTAAAGCCCTTCTAGTAGTGATTAGAACGAAATTTGAAAATTCCAAAAAAATGTACCAGTTTTGAGAAAAAACGTTTTGAAATTTCCAATTTTTTGTCTTAATTCGAGCGAATAAAGCAAGCGAGCATGCTTACAACAGCTGAATTATGACTAATTTAAAACCTTAAAATTTTATTTTTGCAAGGTAAACTAATTTTTGGAGTTTCTCTGCTTCATTTTGGGAACCAAAAAATTCAAAAAATTCAAAAATTTCCCGCGAAAAATTTTGAATTTTTAAAAATAATTTTTGCTCAGATTTTCTAGTCATTTTTTTGCAAAAATTTTACAAAATTTATAATCTAACAAGCCTAAGTTATATTTTCACGTCAGATTTTTTTTATCACACCTAGCAGAAAAAATTGCACTAAATTGGAAAAAAAAATTTCTAAACTCTAGTTTTCTAAAAACATGGTCAGAACATTGTGCTATTTGCTATCCTTGTTTTTACGTCAGATCTGCTTTGGCTCTCACTAATTTTATTTTTACGACAATTATATTTTAATGTCAGATTTTTTTATCACATCAAGCAGAAAAAACTACACTGATTTGGAAAAAAAAACTTTTTACACTGTAGTTTTTTTTAAAATGATGGTCAGAACATTCTGTGCTACTTGCTATCCTTGTTGCAATTGCAATTATTTTGCCGTACTTTTTTGTCTTTGAATGATTTGGCGACTTGCACAAAGACCTACCCATGTTTTAGTTCTGTGCCATCTCTTTTCAATCAAACCTGAAGCAAGGAACATAATTTTTGAGATAAAATCTACGTACTGTTTTCTTGTTGTTCCGACCTTTGAATTCGGGTATGTTTTAGTATTTTTTTTTCGTTTCTTTTTTATTCAACTTTTTTATTTTTCACAAAAAATCTGGTTCCACAAAAAATCACAGACAGGTTCGACAGATATAAAATAATAAAACCCTTTCAATCGTGTTTCGATTGACATTAGAAAAATTTGAAGATTGGAAAGTTTTGAATTTTTTTTGTTTAATTTTGAGCGAATAGCGCGAGCAGGCATGCGTATAATTGAATTTTAACAGAAACGTACATTTGCTCTAGTTAAACTAGGTTTTGAAGTTTTCTAAGCGCTATTTTTGGATACAAAAAAAATCAAAAAAAAAACTGCTACTTTCTTTTTAAATCTTTAAATAAAATTTTAAGTTCGTTCTTACAATTTTTTTTGTTATTTTTTGACTGAAACTGTTGTCAATCATGCTATTTTTACAAAGAATGTCTAATTTGCTTCAGTTATTGGCTTTAGACCCATCTTTTTATCGCACAAAAAAAACGACCTTCGATCGAAAAAAAAAATCGTAAGTTTTTTTTTCTGAAATGTGGTTGGAAAACTCTGCCATTTGCACAGCAACCGGCTATCCTTGTTTTAACATTTGCTATCTAGTGGAGTTCCCTTACTTGAAAAAAAGTGTTTTTAGACTTACTTTGTTGTTCTTCTATCTCCCTCGGAGCTGGATGCCACCATCAAGATGATTCTCCAGGTGCCTCTTTGGTCACAAAGAGTTATTTACATCCAGGGAAGTGCGCTCAAGGATCAGGACTTAGTGAGGGCTAAAGCAGACATGGCTCAGTGCTGTTTCATTCTGGCATCTAGAAACGAGGCCGACCGAAATAAAGCAGTGAGTTATGTTCTGTATATCCGAATTGATCATCATAAAAAGTCATGCATCTAACGCGCATTTACATGAAAAAACCTCTTGTTTTCTTAAAGTTAGTGATCAGTATAAATCATTAATATTTGCATCTGAGTGGTTTTTTCTCAGATCTGTCTGTTGAATTTTACGGATACTTTTGTCAAATTAACAAGAAAAATTTAATTTTTGAGAACTGTTTAAGCCGTTTTGATTTGTCTGTATTTATTGCTTACTTTTGTTAAAGGACCAGGCGACCATTCTTCGAACGTGGGCGGTCAAGGACTTCTCCCCCATGTGTCCTCTATTCGTGCAGATACTGAGACCAGAGAACAAATTCCACATTAGCTTCGCAGGTTCTCAACTTGCAGCTTGTGCACCTCTGGTCATAAACTTCAGAGATTAAATGGAGTGAATTCAGATAGACATTTCCCAAATTTTTATCAGTGGTTCCAATCACTTCACGAGGAGGGTTTTATTCACAGAGACAATTATGAGTATCTCATAGTGGGAATTTAAGTGGGGATTATATTAAAGCTGTATCAGCCCGTGTCGAGAAAAACTGTCTCAACTCAATATTTTCGAGCTTTCAGACTAAATATAACAATTGGATCATTGGATGACCTTCAAATTGTTTTCTTTAGCTAGTAAAGACCCATTCGTGCAGTTTTTATCTATTTAAATCACCCGTCTGGAAACAAAAACAGAATATAGGAACTTTTTTTAAACCAATTGAACGAAAGACGAACACCGTATTTCTAACCGGATTTGTACCAATTCGCCGCTTTGTGTTGTAGACCACATCGTGTGTGAAGAGGAGTTGAAGTATGCTCTGTTGGCCAACAATTGTGTCATACCAGCTGTATCTACTCTGACTACACTCCTGCTACACACACTCAAGGGCAGGCAAGTGGCTTTTAATATTCTACACCCAATCACGAAAGACTATCAGAATGTCAAACTGCCAAACTGGTCTGCTCATTGATTTGATAAGTTCCGATTTGTCATTGTTTTTCTCGCACAGATATATCTTCAATCCTTTTCAAGATAGAAATTGAGTTTTCACAAAATCTATAAATCCGGGGGTACCGTGCAAACATCAGAAATGTCAAATATCCAATGAACCAAAACGCTTGCAAACATCCACAAAAAAAACATATGGGTGCAATTAAACGATTTCTACCGTTTGCTTTAAAGATCTTGTATTGAAAGAAAAAAAAAGTGGCCACCGCAATCAGGGGCGGATCTAGGATTTTCTCGAGGGGGGGGGGGCATTTCTAAAAAAAATGGAAAATTGTGTCGACCTTTTTTTTAGGTCGACCAAATTAATTTTTCGAGCTCTCCCAAAACAATACAAAGAGCCTTTTTTCGCCAAAATTTCTGCGCCGCGTTTTTGACCAAAAATTTTGACCAAAAAATTGCGTTTTTTCGGCGCGCGCTCCCCCCTTAAAATTTAAATATATTGGCGCCTAAGGCGCCTTTACAAAAGTTACAGGGTCCGTCACCAAAAATGGATATCTCAAAAAAATAGTGCAAAGGGGGACCCTCTGGGTCGGCAGGGGGTCGAATCTCTGAGGGGGAAGAAGCGTTCCCCCTCCTCTAAAGCCGCCCCTGACCGCAATCGTGTCAGTGTATCGCAGCTTCCCAACAAAGGGCAAGTTTAAATGAAAACTAGAACCAGTTATGGTCACGAAGCGTTGACGCGCGCTTAGCGTGCCTATTAGCGACCTTTAACCAAATTTTTGCTCAGTTGGAACGGTGTTTTGTTTTAACACAACAAGCAAAGTTTGTATGATAGCATGAACTTTCTTTTTTTTCCTAAGTCGCAAATATTGTTGTGACGCAAATATTGTTGCGACAAACTGTGTTCATTTTGAAAGTGCTTGTTTTGATCAATATCCAGCTATTACAGCCAATGCTAAAGATAATAACACAGAATCACAAATAGCACTTTAGCTTCAAGGTATCATGGATCTCTAGCGTAGGGAAGTTGACCCGCAACAAAATAAGAGGCTTCAAACCTGGGCAGCGTCTGATATTTTGAATGAGTTTTTTCTATTACTAGTTAAAATGCGTCCGCAATATGCATTGAGGCATGTTACCTGGTAAATTTCTTTTTTTTCGAATTGACTGGTAATGCTAATGCGCCATAATTGGCTTGCGTCACTTGGCAATTATGTAGACTCATAATTGGCGTGCGTCACTTAAGAAACTTTGTAGGCCATATCGGTCATATTTTTGCTTGCAACTTCGCGTCTCTGTTAAAATTCGAACGCCATACTACTATGACAGAGAGGTACCTCGGAACTAACCAGGTCCTTCGAAAAAAAGACACCGAGAGCTCTCAAATCGTTTAACAATTATGATTTCGCCATTCAAAAAAGACGCCGCAGTATATTCTCAAACAAATTTTATCTTTTGTTATTTTGTAAAAACCTCCCTCTTCATTTTAAACTGGAAAAATAAAAATCAGCCAAAATTGTGTTTTGATGACAAATAAGTTAATCCAACTATGGTTCTTATACCGTAAAAAGTTAAAGCGAGCATATTTCTTGATATAAACAATATATTAATTATAGTTCTTAATCTGAACATATTTTGCAAAAATTTAACACGCGAAGTGCATGCGGGACCTGTCTATCATAGTTGATTTTTTTTTGCGGAACCTTTCTATTATAGTGGTACCATAATTTTTATGTAAGTTCGGATGTTTGACATAGCGGATTTTTGAAACATCGGAATTTTGTCCTAGAACAAATTCCAGGTGAGTGAACGATAATAAAAAAATCCGTTCACTCGTAATCTGGTGATAGTGCAAATAATGACGCAAACTAGGTTGCGTAAGTTTTATAATGAGAGTTTGCCATAAAGGAAGTTTGCTATTTTGGGATCATTTTTTGTTAGTTATGAGAGTTTGAAAGTTGGCAAATGAACGCGTTTTTAATAGTTAGCGCACAAAATGCCTCGTCTTGTAAAACAAAAAAAGGCAAAATCCATCTAGCGTAGTTAACATAAAAACTATTTTAAAAGTATCAATTTTTCCATCAAGAATGATTTAGAAGCTTTCCTTAAATTTCTCATAAACTGTGGATTCAAATAGTTTTTTTGCTACCCAAATTCAAATCTATGGAAGTCTCATTTAACCCCTACGTTTACCAAACCTATTTTATAACCCCGTAACAAGATAACCCAACAGCAGTTTAACCTCCTCCCCCATTTTAATGCTGAGAAAAATTGGAAGATGCTAAAATTTTTAAATTTTAAAATTTTTTTTTCCAAATTACCGCGACTTATGAACTCTTGCGGTCAAATCATTGTGCTACTTGCAAAATAACCTTTTTTTCTACTCTACAACCAACCAAGTTAGTACACTTCACAATATACTAACTGGCGACAAAGTTGGCCATGCGGTGAAAAAGGTTGAAACGGATATCCCTGAAAGCTAGTCAGCTCCTTAATATCCATATCGATAGCGTCTCAACCGATAGCGTCTCATTCAATAGACCAGAGCGCGCATTGAGCAAGCTTGGTTCAAATATTTATTCCAGTTTTGATGTTGCAATAGCTCATCGAGTTTTCTTGTTGTGACGTGACACCTGTTATCCTGAAACTAACAAAGCATAAAAATTTTCAGTTTTCGGACTGTGGTTTCAAAAGTGTTCAAATTTTATGAGCTTAATATGAGTGAAAATTATTGAACGAGTAATTTTAAGCAACTTGCACTAAGAAAAACTGAATAATTTAAAAATTTTGTCTGATGTCGCAATTTTTTGCAGTTTAGACCTCTAAATGAGCAAAAGAGAGAATGCTTCACCTCTTTTTCTCTTTAATATTAGTTTAAAATTTCATTTCGTAAACTAGAAATTATGTGAAGAAAATTTAGACATGGTTTTGTTATTCAAACATAGACGAAGAAAACTGGGGACAGTTCACCATTCTTCAAAAGCAATGATAAAAGAATATGTCAAAACATAGTAGCAAAGGGTGGACCCTTTCGGTCAAGGGGTAGAATCACTGAAGGAGGGGGATCAGAAATGGAATTGGTTTCCACCAGTTCCATTACTGTACTCTGTCCGTTGTTATAACAGAACTCAATTTGTACTTTGTTTTTTACTCAATTTGTACTTAAGTTTTTTGTTGCGGCTGACTATTTGTGCAGTTGAAATCGGGAGCCCATATGAAACACTGTGAGCGACTAAAATTGATCTCCCTTTTGCTCATTTTTTTTTCTATTTTCTAGCGCTACATAATGTGCATATCAACTGCCAAATTTTAAGATTGTACCTTAAAATCCGAAAACCGGAGAGGCTTAAATTTCAGGCCGAGTTATAAAAGTATTTTTAGTGTGTTGGTATTTTTTAAGCTTTTTTGGTGTTGGCATATTTTAAAAGGTTTTTGGGCGCCCCATTCCTTTATCATCTTAATTAAAAATGGAACTATCACATTTCCTGCAGCTAGTATGGTAGTTTGACCGTTTTTGTTATCTTTGGACTGAAACCAATACTAATGGAAAACGTGATTATTTTCCTATCTTTTTTTTCTCACTTACGACTTACGTATTGAGTATCACATCATATTAGTTAAATTGAAATCCTCAAAATACTTAACCCTTTTTAAGAGCTCGTTCGTTTCAATTAGAGTAGATGGTTGCTAATTGACTCTCTTAGACACTCTTAGCACAGCGGAAAGCTACGTGCTTATTTCCGCCCGGGAAAATCTACCAACTACCAATGGTCAGAAGATGAATGGGAATTGATGATTTTTATGTGACAGCTAGTGGCGATCTTGGCAAGAGATGAGGAAAAGGATGCAGCGATTTTATTTAACTTAGAGGTCATGTTTTTTTTTCGATTTGTGTTTCCGGTTTCTTGAGTCCGTTACTTAATATTTTTTTAAGAGTTAATTAAAATAGTTCAGACTCTTATAAAGGTTGTGATGATATTTTTTGTTTTCTTTTTAGGAAAAGTCTTGAAATTTGTCCAGACTCATATGTACTTTTTTGCGGTTTGATTTTTCGTTTTTTTTCCAAGTCACTTTAGTTTCTTTAAAAAGAAAAGCAGCTCCCCTATCAAACAGCAAAGTTTAAAGGACACGAGAAAGTTGAACGATTTCAAGTTTCCAAAGTGAAATGTAATTTTCAGATTTCTCAGCAAATTTTTTTTTTTTCGTAATGATCCAGTTGTCATGCGCTAATAATTTCTTTCGCAACTCTGTCTTGAATGTGTATTGAAACTTTGCGACCTTTAACTTGACGAGGGATAAGAGGAAATTTGAAGTTAGTGTAGCTTTTGTATTGTTTGGACCTGCCGAGACGATTAAACACATGAGCGTGTCGTTTGGCAAAATACGAGCTCCAGTACTCTGATGTCGGATCTTGTGACGTATCTCCAAGCAGATGAATAGGTTCAGCCCGCATTTGGGTTGTTACCACTCAGAACTTATCATGAAGAACCAGACCTAGAAGTTTACGCGTTCGATTTTCGGAAATGAGGAAAGTGGCATCTTCAACTTTCTAACCATTTGAAGAAATAAGGTTCGTGATCGTGCCTAAGAGTCGAATGGGACGCTTATTGTAGTCCACGTACATGGTTTCAATAGGGTGCCGCGCAACATCTGGGAAATTAATGGAAGGGTTACGCTGTAACAAAAGATCAAAGAAGCGTTCATCGAGGAACGAAACATGACTTCCTGTATCAATCGTGGAGTAAAAGAAACTAGAACCTGACCGAATTTGAATGCTGAGGCTCCTAGTTTTTCATCCAACTGATTTAAGTACCTCAATGCTGTCGATCTGTATTGCATTCTCTATCTGGAAGACTCCGTACTCCGGTTCACTATCACATTCGACGTCTATGAAGTTACATACAATCTAACGCATGATTTGGCGTTTTCATCTTCTTGGATCAAGTTCACGCTTCGTTTAGACGATTTGCAACACTTTGCAAAGTGACAACGCTTTTTACAGAGGTTACACGTAAGTTCCCGAGCTGGACAAGGTTTCCTGTGATCTAGACTAAAAGGGTTACCGTAGAAGTAGTATGGTTTATTCGCTTGGTTACCTTGGGTATTTTGACGGTTCGGTTGATTCTGAGGATAATTGCGTTTCTCTCTGGACGACTGAATTGAAAAAGCTGGTTCTTGTTTAATTTTAATGATGTTTGATTTTTGATTATGAGGAAAAAGCTTCTGAAATTTGGCTGACGTGCTAGTCCCTTTTTCACACTCCAACGCGAGTTTGAAAGTGTATCAAGATCTGTCTTCGCTTTAATAAGATGTTGCTGGACATCTACATCTCGAATTCTTCCAATGAAGAGGTTTTTGAGTGTCGCCCTACTCCTGAGCATTGGGCCAGTTACATGATGCGATTTAAGCACTGAGTCGAGCGTAAAACGAGGAAAAAGTGTCGTTCTCGAGCATGAATATGGTATTATACAGCTTTTTTCATTCAACTGTGTAATCCCGTTCCACTTTAAACAACGTTTCACAATTAGTGTGAAAATCACGGAACGATATAACGCTAATGTCTGTATGTGGAAATGAGTCAGCAAATCACCTCTTGCCTTCGTTACCCAAGGAGAAAAAACAAGCGTGACTTTAAACGAGCCTCCGCCTCATGATAGAACCAGTTTTGGCTGATTCGAGAGCCTTTCCTCCTGCGTTCGAGGTTCAATTCGAACCGCTGCCTAGTCTCTAAGGATGCGAGCATTGGCCTCCGCTGCATCTTCCCCAGTAATGATTGTTTCTGGTTTCGGAGGGGGGTCGTCAGAGATCTCCACAGGCTCGACAAGAAGGTCTTGTGGGTTAATTTTGTCTTTCAGCCTGACTGCCAGAAAGAAGTGGCCAATCCAAGACTCCCAAAGAAACGGCTGGTTAATTGGTGGTTTCTCCCAGAAGGGAGGGATCCCTTACAGGTCAGTCCTGTCTTTGTTCACAGGAACTGCTGGCTGCGCCATGACATTTGCCGAGTTTTATTGACTCCAAAACTTAGTTGTGTATATTAGTGTAAATTGATTATTGGTTTGAAATTTGTACACGATAAGTAGATTAGTTAGATACTCAGTATCAATTAGTTCTTAAACTGTTTGTCTTTAAGCCGAGAGTGTAACGGCATGAAAATTGTTACATCTAACCTTGATGTAATTAATTAAGAGAGTGACCACGTTCAACGTGCCGCTCGACATAAGCCGCTGAATGACCTTGATTAAGGTTAATGAAATAAACTGCAGAGTTACTGCACAAAAGTCATGATGGTAACGAGGTAGTGAAGATCGCCTCATGACAGGGCTAATCAAAATGGGTCACTTTTAATAAAAAAAACTGTCGTTTATGGAGCGTTAAGGCATCTATTTTTCTCTAAAATTCGAAAATGTACACTTAAAAATTTAAATTTGCGTTCATTGACTCGTTTCCAACTGTCTGTTGGGTATATTTAATATATTTCTTCGTTACTTAAGTAACTTTTCAACAAGGACGGGGTTTGGGGTTCTATACAACAGTAGCTCGAGTAAAATAGATGCGACTAATTCAAGTGAGGCTTCAAATCTATTATGAAGGGAATAACTTTAAGTTTCCCAAAATTTCGGTGAATGTTTTTTTTTCTATTCTAGCACAAAGTTTTGTTTTAGCTATGTTTTTTCTAGAGTTTGTGATTTAGTCGTAGTAACGCCATAACAAAAAATCAATTGTTAATCATTTGTTTTGAAACACAAAAGTTTTTTATTATTCACAAGTCTTCAATTGTTTTCCGCCTGGTTCAAACTCTGTTGTCTTTGTGCCATCTTCTGCCTGTGTCTGTTGTACAGTTGTTCAGCCCTCTCAACCTGAAAAATTCTGGAAATAAAATCAAAAGGAAATATATTTTTTGTTTCAACTTTGAAAATAGTATTATATAAAATTAGTAGGAACAATATTTTTTATATCCAACTATTAGGTAACAATTACGCAAACTCACCTCTTTCTCCAAGCGCATGATCTCTCGCTTCATCCTCAGTTCCAACTGTTGGATCTCCTTGGAACTGCTGTTGTCCTGTTCCAGAGCCGCCATCGCCTATAAAATATCTTATTGCAAGTAGTACTACCACAATTATTATACCTAACTTTCCTTTTACGGATTAATTAAAACATACAGTACAAATCAAATTTTTTAACAAAGTTCTAAAATGTCTACAGTTGGCACAATTGCCTCACAGAAACCGTGAACATCCTAGAAAGGTGCAAGAGTTAAAATTTTGCCAGCATTAGCTGCACCTATTTTTTCCTAAAAAGCAGATTTGCCATAAGTAGGCATTTTTGAGCTGAGTTGAAATTATAGTTTCCTGGTTATACAAGACAAGTGAAGTAATTAGAGCAAGATGCTACCTTGTTAGTGTTCTTTTTCTTGAAGTTTACATAATCTGTAGATGTAGTCAAATGATTGTAACGAGTTTTTAAGTGCTATTTAATCGTTTTGGTCTAATGAGGAACAAACGACTATTCCAGAAATTTTTGGGAAAATTGAGATATAGAAATTAAAATTACATTAGTTTGACCTGAAGCCCACAATTTTACCGGAGGCCCACAATTTTACCGGGGGCCCACAATTTTACCGGAGGCCCCTTTTTTTTGCAATTAAAAACCTTTATAATTCATTGTAATCGATTATAATCAATCTTATTTTTACAACTAAATTCGAATATTTTTGCAAAACTTTTGCAATTTTGCAGGAAATTTGCTAATTGTAAGCTACATCTTTTATTAAAAACCAGGTTTCAATGTCACCCCTCATTTTTTTACCTCCTCCAACTAAAGAGGGAGTAGGTAAACTAGTAAGTAATCCCCTTATGTTCAACCGTAAGGGCGGGTTGGCGGTTGTGGTGAACGGGCAGGGACGGCAGGGGGTAAACTCGGAGGGGGTGTTGGGTAAAGTATGCTGGGGGGGGGGGGGGGGGGTTACGTAAAGTAAGCCGGGTGGGGCTGGGTTCGTTCAATCACTATTCAACGCCAACCCCCAAATTCTACTATTAAATAGTTCCCCCCTTACCACCGTTCAAACCTTACCCCCCTCCCCATGCAAAATGAAGTGTTAAACTCAGATAAACCGAAACTTTTTTTATTATTTCTTTCGTAAACTGTAACATTTTAAGAAACGGAGAAACGGAATAGGTACAACTGCACTAAACAGGAAATGATATAACTTTGAAAATTACAAATTTCATTAACCTTTCGAAAAATTCATTTTAATCGAATATAATTGGTTATAATGGATTATATAGGCATCAAAAATATTTGGATTATCAACCATTGTTAATGGATTATAATCGATTATAACGGATTACATTGACATGAAAAATATTCAACCTCTAAACAATTTCTAATGAATTAAAATAGTTTATTTTGTAGTTTTTTAATAATGACCATATTATGACAACATAATCGATTATGATCCATGGTCGTTCGGTGCGGGTATCTAGGAATTTTTCGCATAAAATCTTACAAGTTTTTACAAAAACAGGCTCTAAGAATGTTACAAGATTCGTACTTTTTCTTACAAGAAAGTTGTAAGAAAAAGAAATTCTCTTGCAAAAGTTTCATAAACTTTTTTTTCCTTAAAATTTTTTTAATTACAAGTACAAAAATTCTCCGTGGTCGCAGAATACAAATTTAGAAACTCATTAGCCAAGCTTAACCATTTATCATAAGACTTTATTGAAATAAGTTCTAACTCCTTAGTGTTACCTAATAGCTCATTTCTGGAGTTTTCGTCAAAATATCTGCACCCTGCTTACAGTACGGCCTCGGATATGTGACAAGATTCGTCAAAGTTGAATTTTTAGTAGTCTCAAAAAAAAACTTCGAGCCGCTAAATATGGATAGCCGAGAGATTTATTTTTTTTCGGAATTGATTGTTCGAAATTAGTACGATATAACAACAATCATAAACTTTTCACATGCCTAAATTTGAAATAAACTTAAAAAATTTTATTGGATTCATTTTTTCCGTAGATGCGGTAAAGAATCATATTCAAATTCGTTTGAACAATTTTTTGAATTTTTGAAAAACTAGCGTTGTTTTTTTTTGCGAAAAAGTTGCCATCTTGTGTCATCAAACTGTAAGGTAGCAGAGCTTTTCGTAGGGTGGTCAACCCGCGCATTTCCAATCAAATGAAATTTGTTCTGAAGAGATACCGAGTTTGGCTAGTGTACGGCGGAAGGTGAATTTATCTATAATAATAGTTTATGGTATTAATATCATGCATGTGACACAAGAAATTGTGCATTAAACTGAGACTGCAGCTTTACATTTTACCGCCACTTCACAGCACTTCTATTAGGCCAATTTACGTATATAAAATTAGTTTAAATGTTTTTTTGTTTTTTAAAAAGATTTTTAAGAAGTCTAAAAAATAACAAGTAGTTGAGTTCGATCGCAAATCTTTTGTTTGTGGAAATATTCATTTCGAATTTTGTAGTTTATATTTTACTTCAGAAAACTTTCTCTCAAATGCTCAAAATATCTTCAAAGGTTTTCAGTTTGCGTTTCACATTGTTTCTGAATCTTCTTGTTGATAATTTTCTAGTTTTCAGTCAAGTTCTTAGCTTAATTACTTAAAACAAGATGAGATTTTCTGTTCCGACCAATTAATAAATGGGGAGTAACTTTGTATTTGGGTGTGTTTTTTTTTTATTTTGCCTTCCACACAAAATTAGGTACGACAGATAGTTATGGGAATGGTTCGAGTGATATATCATATTAAAGCAATTTCAGTCATGATTCGAACGACATTCAAAAATTTACAAAAAATTGTCCCAGTATTGAAAAAAAACAGGTTTAATTTTTTGGATTTTTAATTGAATGTTAATTTGAATGTTGTTGAATAGTTGAAACACGCCACAACTGCTGGCTTGTTTCTGTCAAAGTATTTTTAGCTCGTAATTTGATTATCAAAAAGCTGCGTAGCTGTTAGTTATTCGTGTCTACAACTTTGTTACCAGAATGGAAGTTTGTCCTTAATTTCATCCTACAAAAATCCAAATATAGATTTCTTTACATAAATTATGCACCGGGCAGGCTACAGTTCGGAAAACCAGTAAAAGGTGAAAAATCGTAACAAGGGACGATTCGTATTGAGGCATTGACAAGTAACGACCACTTGCTCCGCTGGGCTTAGATTTGGTAGCTGAAGAACACTGCGCGCGACTAATCGATTGTTACTGATGGTTGAAAATTAACATTTTTTGCGCGGCTTAACACTAGAGCTCATAGTTGTAAATGATGAAACATATTTTTAGACAAAACGACCTGACAGCATGTGGTTTACTTAAGAGTAAGTATATGTTGTTTTTTCTCGATGAATTTTGTAATTAGGTATAATTACATCTGAACCTTGCGTTCTTTTTACCTACTTCAATGGAACTTTGCTAAAAATGCAAGGAAACTGATGCTAAGGGAATCGATATATTTTTTCGTTCGTTTAAAAACGTTTTCTATTTTCTGAATTTTTTACCTGATGCCGAGTGATTCGATCACTCTGTGCTACCCTTGTTATATCTTGGATTGCAAATTGATTGCCTTTTAATTTAAAGCTTTGATATATGGGTTAGGCTTGACTGCCGAAGAAAATGCGGAATACTTAAGCTTGGGACGTTTTTTTATTCAGTCAGCTTTCGACTCTGTAACTAAGCGATGTCGACGAAATTGTTTTTTTTTCACTGTGATTGAAAAATTACCGGGGTATGGAAATTCCTCATATGGCTAATTTGTTATAATTAACGCGCGATTCAGTGCTTTCTTATAACATGCGTTAGCGGAATTTTAATGCGTTCCAAATTGAGTTGATACCAGCAATTCAACCCTGTTAGACAATACGAAACGTTAGACAATACGCCTAACAAAATGTTAGACAATACGCCTAACAAAATTTATAGAGATCGATGCAAACGTGCTATGAAAAATCCGAAACTCGAAAAAGTTATTACTTAAAGAAAAATAGTAGTCCCAGAAAGATTTACAGGACCAATTGATGGAGTGCTCGGGCAATGCTATTAAAAAGTGATCAGAAGGATAATAGAAAATGCGATGGATTTGATACTAAAAATACGGTACAACTGCAAAAAAAACCTCCAAAAAGTTGGAGAGTATCTGTGCAGAAAGTGTTAATATGAAATGCACTTGTTAGGGTAAAAATGGATTTAATATGAAGACGTAACCATTTATTTTACTGCAAATCCCTATCAAAATTCAAGCCGTGCTTACAATTTGCAGTTTCCGCTTAAAATTTGCGGATTATGGGACAGCGCTTTTTTACTATGTACAAATATATACTTTTTTGTGATTACTGCTGTTTCTTTGTGGTAGTTGCGGACTTTTGGAGCAATTTTGAGCGTAACAGTGTTTTAACTTTTTGTTCGTGGAATCCAAAACGGCATTGAAGATTAAGAAAAATAAGCGAAGAAAAATCTGGACTCTTGCGGAATCCGCGTACAATTTACAAATAACGCAGTTTGGCCTCATAATGCTCAAATTCCTGACGCAATGGGAGGCTATTTTGAAAAAAATTCCATAAAAGTAGCAAGTCAGACTTCCCCGCACCGGAGTTCCATGGATAATAATCAATTATAATGGAAAAATGTTGTCTAAAATGTTGTCATTATAATCCATTATTGTGGCAAATTTAGACCACGAAATCGATTATATTGTCATTATAATCGATGATTTTCGTAAGAACACAATCCATTAAAATCCATTATAGTGGATTATAATCCATTTAAAATCCATTATAATAGCTTCTGATCCTTTTAAAATCCATTATAACTGATTATAATGGATTATAATCTATACACTTTTTTGCAAAATCAATTTGCAATTTTTCTGCGTTACTCAAGGGCTACTCGCAATCTAAACCTAATCGAATTAACCCCCTCCCCACTTGTCCCCCAATCCGCGTTTGCCCAAACCCCCTCCCCTCACTCCCCTACGCTTATCCCTACGCCCACCCCCATGTTTGCTAAAGGTTATCCCCAACCCCCCCCCCCCCATGTTACAGTCCCCCCAGTTTTTTTTACCATTTTCAACGAGGACGGAGGAGGGAGTATACTCAGTTGTTCAGGTTACCCTCCAGCCCACATTTTTTACCTCCATAAAGGGGGGGGGGGCGAATGGCGGTTATGGTAAACTGGCAGGGAGGTGGGAGGGGGAGGTAAACTGGGGGGATGTAAATTATAAACCCCCTCCCCAAAGTCTACCAACTACAAATAAACAACCCTCCATAAAGGGGGGGGGGGCGAATGGCGTTTGTGGTAAGCTGGCAGGGAGCTGGGGGGAACAAGGGGGGGGGGGTGTATAAACAGGGAGGAAAACGGGGTGGGGGATTAAACAGGGAGGGGTAAACTGGGTATATAAGACAAAAATTATAAAAACTGAAAAGTGAAAAGTAAAATTTTATGAAACCTAATAAAGCAACTGCACTAAACAGGAAATGCGATAACTTTGAAAAAACTTGTAAATTTCATGACTAACCTCTCGAAAAAATCCATTGTAATTTATTATAACCGATCATAAGCGGTTATATTGGGGATTATATGAAAAAGCGATTATATGAAAAATATACGAAATATAATCCTTTTTTAATGGATTATAATCTATTATAATCGATTATAATGGATTGCATTGATATAAAAAATAATGGATTGAAATCCATTTTTAATCTATTATAATCGATTATTATCAAAATTTATTGAGACAGACCACAAAAACTCAATAGAATCGATTATTATCCATGGAACTCCGGTGCGTCATAATGCTCAAATTCCTGACGCAATGGGAGGCTATTTTGAAAGAAATTCGGTAAAAGTAGCAAGTCAGACTTCATGCCACGCAAATTTGTTTTTCGTTGCCTCAGAAGTCTATCAATCCCCAAATTGACCTGGAACAAAGTCTTAAACTGATTTATGACTTTGAGTATTGCTGAAATCTTACCGCGTGAAATGCCTCAGTCATTTCAACAGTGCCTGCTTCGGGAAGTGTCTCCTTCATGTTAGCCGATGCAGAGGATGAAATATTGGCAGGAGTCGAGATTAAGGGCTCGCTTCTTTTCCGAACATAACCGAGCATAGTTGGGCTAACAAACGACATGCGTTTTGAAGAAAACTCCTGAAAATTAATTCTTAACCGGGGAAGCTTACAAAAAAATTCAGAACTGAGATATGTCAAAATCACTATAAATTGATGAAAGAATCAACGATGCTTTTGCTTACTTTTTTGAGCAAGAAGTGTGAATTTTTGGTTACAAAAAGTAGCAGTTGAACTTTAGGTTACAAACTTCAGGAACAGAGATTGAATGTTTGATTGAAATCTGAATTGTGTATTCAAATTTTGAGCACATTACCATTTGTTGACCCATTTGAATTTGATCTATTCTTTTGTATTGGATTAGTGGTCATCTTTTTTGGTTAAGAATCGAGAGTGTTTTTACTAACTGAAATCGAATTAGAAAAGAATCGCTTTATCTGATATAACTTTGAAAAGATTTCAATCAAAACAATATTTACAAGAAAAACAGAAGTTCTCGTGTTATTATGGTACCCCCAAATGATTTTAATGCTTTTTTATTTTAATTAAAGTAATTATGGGTTAAAATGATTAAAAGTTATGTTCCCCTATCGAGTTTTATAGGCCTTTAAGTTGTTTATAAGACAGGCAAGGCGTAGCAAGGCGAACCTCAGAATATTCTGACTGTTTTTAAAACTTTTACTTTAAGACACTGTTATTTTAGGGAGAAGAGTAATTCTCGCGAAGAGTGGGAGAGGGACTACTCCCACAGCAGTGGCCAGGAGATCTACCACAAGCGACTCAGAGGAAGTCTCTTCTTCGGGGAATACGTAGACGCCAACTTCTCCTTTGCCGCATTCCACGCGCACAAAAAGTAACCATGACTGAACCGAAACAGTTCACAAAAAAAAATAACTTTTCTCCAGTAGGACTGCTCTGAAAAAGTACTAAAACTGGAGCCAAATTTGGGATCCAGCCAACTCTCAGCGTTGAACAACCTCATAATTTGAAACACGGACTTCGTAAAACTTCTTTAAAAAAAACTGATCAAAAAATGTCAATTTTTCTACTTTGTTTTGAGCCTGTAGTCCTATGAACTTCTGTAACCTGCTACTCTGTTTCTATCCAGTGTACTACAAAGCACAGAAAACGAACGCTCGGGTTTAAGAACTTTCATTCGATATAAATAAATTATTTGTTCGATTTAGATACGGCATCACCTTGATTGGAGTGCAGCCGAAGGGAGAAGACGCCATGTTGAATCCAGGTCCATCACACATCATGAGTGAGAGTGACATCTGCTACTACATCAACACCACCAAGGAGGAGCAGAGCAGTCTAGTCGCCCCCAAGAAGAAGGGCAGCAGGTGGGCAAAGGTCAGCTCACTCGGCATGATTGGCGGCAGGGGCAGTAGTAGGGGGGACCAGGTGCAGATGACGGAGAAGCAGATCAGACGGGAACTCATCGAAGGTCGGTAGGGACCTCATCAGGTGTCTGTTTATTGTTTATCCCTTTCAGACTTTCTTGACAACAGAATTCTAAGTTAGCTATTAATGTTTTAGCTGCCGACCTTACAGGTGGGATGATAGTAAAGTTGAGTGGAAGTCTTGTTGCGTTGCAAAACATGCACTGAAAACATCCTCGCAGCATATTAAGACATAGTCATGGTTAACCTAAAGCACCCTGATGGTTTCGAAGCTTAAAAAAATCGTCCGCAGTTTCTTTAGAGTTTCCGAAAGAGTATAGCTTTTATCACAAAAATCAAAGAGCATTAAAAGTTTTAAACGGCTCGTTTTCCTTTCCCCATCAATTTTATGTGGCTTTCTATGGTTGTGAATGGACTAGCTTTAAATTATGAGGGTATCAAAAATCAAGTTGTCGACGAAACTAAAGTTTATATTAGTATCATAAGTAGGGGATGAAATAGAGATTTCGAATGTAACCTTCAAATCTAATAAATGGCTATGGTGACACCAGTATGCTAGCTAACTTAATTGTTTGATCATTTTGACCGTGACGAGTCAAAAACAGTTGGGTTTTTTTTTAATCGAAATATATTCTTTCATGTCAAAATGACGATCACAAATCTAACAGCAAGAAGAAAAATCACGGGTTTTGGGTCGATGAATGAATTTTATTGGATCACATTGAAATTGAGTTAGGGCTCTGTAATGCGTCTGTGTATCATTTAGTTTCCTTCTCCTCATTTTGGCTCTCATGAGTATAGTGAGCAAAAACTATCGTAGATAACACGACATCATGATAACACTTTTTCGTTGAAATTAAAAAAACTGAAACATCGTCTGCATGAAACAAATGTAGTCTACTAGACAAAAACCGACAAGGAAAAAAAGGAATTTTGAGCATTTCAGCTGTAGCTTGCAAATCATGTTCGTACGATCTGCGTCAAGAATAAAATTAAACAAGACTGCTCGTATCAGGGCGAAGCCCTGAATGTCCCGACTGCCTTTTAAGGTTTTTGGAGCAGTAATAAAATATAAAAATTAAATGTAATAAAAAGAAATGAAAATTTTTCTTTCTAAAGTTTGAAAGTTTCTTTGAAAATCATATCCCCACACGCCATATAAAGTACAGAAGAAAAGATTTCGCTCCTTGTAACAAATCAATTATGGCAAATAGGCTTCTTTCAACCAATTTAGAACAATTTCTAGGACGGCTTAAATCTCCGAAATATATCACGCGTTAATTGTCACAAATTGGCCAAAATGGCAATCTTTAAACCCCCATAACTTTACGAAAAATGCTCACAGTTGAAATACCTTTTTTTTTAAATTTAAGCTCAGGACAACAATACTTTTCGAATGATATTAAAAAATTTGGTCAAAAAAGGCTAGTTAAAAAGTCGAAATTTGTCTGAAGACAAAAGAACACACCCGAGCACAAATATTCCGTTACTTTTGTATAATTTTTTGGGTTTTTTTCAAGTTATAGTAGTAGTAGTTTTTTTTCTGCTTGGTGTGATAAAAAGATCTGAATGAAAAACCTCAGATTAGGCATATTCGACAAACATAGTAAAACAAACAAATTGGATAACAACTTTTGTAAAAAACGGCTAGAAAAACAAAAACTTTCAAAGTTTGGTTTCAATTTTTTCAGCATGATTTTTCGACATTTTTGTTTTCAAAAGGTGCTAAAACAACCAAAAAAACTTTAGTCGAGTAAAACTAAATTTTTTCCTCATACAATAAATAATTGTAAGCTTTTAAGCTAATAAAAGAAACACTTTTAAGCCAATTTTTCTCGACCGGAAAATTTCAAACCAGATTTTCGCGATACCGGAATTGTTTTATGGAAACTTTTTGAGGTCGTTCAAGTCAAGTTACGACTGAAAGAACCTAAAAAGGATCTATCACTCAACTTCTCTGATGAATATTTGCGGTAGCTGATTTTGCGGTAGCTGATTTTGCGTAAGCAAAACTAAAACGCACCCGAATACAAAGTTGTTCCCTATTTTTTAAATGGTCGGAACAAAAACTAGAAAATTTTTTTACTACAAGAATAATTTTTTCTCAAGTTTTATAATATTTTTCTCAGACGTAAATTTTGGATTTATTTTGCTCAAATTTAGGTTAAAAATCAAAAATGTAGTACCAGTTTTTCTTGAAATCGGACAAAATTTTTGGAAAAATGTTAATATTTTTCAAAATAGGACTGAAAAAAATTAAATTGATTTAAAGTGCTCGGCCAATTTCAATGATTTTTCGTAAAACAAAAAAGCTCGAACACAAAATTTTCTTCACATTTTCAATAGTAGGAACATGTATTGAAAAATTCTACATATGTCGAATGACCCGTTTCTTTGATCATTAATGTCTTATATTGACTAAAAGGATAGGAAGCGAAATTTTCAGAGAAAGTTTCCTCAATTTGGAATTTTTATTGCAGCCCGAGTCATGCAATATACGGCTGCAATTATGATAGAAAACTCGACTGATATGATGCCTTTTTGTGATATACATGTTCTCATAACGGGACTGATCTCGCAGCGATAATCATCCCTAATTTAACAATTTTAAATAATAAATTCACTTCCAACTCTGTTTCATAGATAATTCATCGAAAATCCCGAAAACCATTTATTTTCTCCTATGAATCAAGAAAAAAACCAGCAACATAGCGTAATAATTGTTCAGTTTACTGGATTTTTAATATGTATAATCAACTTTTCTTGATTTTAAGCGAAGATAGTGTAGAAATAAAGTGATGAATTGAGATCAGAAGATAGAGGGTTCTACTCCTCTCTGGATGTTGCTTTTGAGCATCCCGAAAAGCGTGAAAACAGCGGTGATTCAGAGATACTTAAGTTTTCATTTTTGATTCAGAGATGATTCAGCGCTAATTCGAAATTGAATTTTCAGTGCCAATTCATTGAGGAATCATTCCTCATCAAGATATAACGTGACGCCTATCAGAGCCTGAATCAGCGGGGCGAACTTTTGTTTTTCTCCGAAAGAGCTCATTAAAAACACAAGACAACGTGCCTCCCCACTTTCGTGATCCTAACAGAGAGTAGCACATTGATTAGATGTTTTTGAACTTTCAAACTGGGGTCATTTTTTCTGAACATTCGTTCTCGCTGTGATATTCGTTATGTGTTATATTTATTAAAGCCCATTTGTTCGTTGTTTATTTTTATCAAATAGATTCCAAAAAAGCTCAAGATAAACCAAATCTTCGCTTTAGAATTGATCGTTTTTGAATACCTGTCTTATGTTCACGTGCACAGGAAAGAACAATTCTTGAAAAAAAGTTTTTTTTCAGTGAAATATTGTCTTAACCTTTTTAATACTTGCACGGCAACCAAAAATTTCTTTCTAAAATTTTTGAAATAGTGTTTTAAAAAATCTTGTCAAAAAACGCAAAACGAAAACGGCAATGTAAAACCCTTGAAATCATGCTTTTTATAGACAGTAACAGTGACGAAGACATCATTTCCTTCGGAACAAATGGTATGGTTTCCCAATGCCTGCTTATGAAATTCTTTCAACGCTGCAAGAGACTAAAGATGGACCGACAATATTTCGAAGAATGCAAAAAACAAAAATCTGAGAAGGATATTTTTGTTCCGACCACTAAGAGTGAGAAACCTGACTTGCGGGTGTGCATTTTATCATCTTTTCGAAAAGTTTTTTTTACCTCGTCAGATGGAGCCGATTGCTCTGTAATATATATCATATTGAAACCATTTTCGTTGTTATTTGATAAATATAAAAATATCTACCAATTAACCATTTTTTTTTCGATTTTGAGAAAAACTTTTTGAGCTTTTTGATTTTAAACACACTGTACAAAAGCACTAAATGTGTCACTGCGAAGCCAAACTGTGTGTTTTGTGAATTGTAAACGGATTCTGCAGCAAAGACGCTCTGTTTGTTCTTTATTTGTTCTTACGTTTCCTTTGATCGTTCCAACATAATTTTACCATGTTTACAGACTTGTCTCTGGATTCCAGAGACCTTCATACAATAAATTTTGCGCCAGTGCACAGTTTGGCCTCGTAATGGTACAACAGCAACTTAGAGGATATTACAAAGAACAGAAACTGTCTTGATTCTTTGAAACTATTTTTGCTACAGTTTTTTTTGAATGAAAATATGCTCTTTTGAAGTCTTTTCCCTAGCAATTAAAAGAGAACAGTTTGAAACAAAACACGACAAAAAAAACTTTTATTTTTATTGCAGAAATAGTTTTGCGAAAGTTCCACTGGCCCTAAAAATAGAACCCTCTGCGCAGCAGCTTCATGTTCTCGTTTCTCCTTTTTTAAATTTTTTTTGCACAAGAAAACTCGACAGCTTAAGCTTTTTCTGTGCTCAATTTAAAAAGATTTCAGATTCAAACCTTTTTGATGCGCTCTCATAAAAAGGCAAAGCTTCTTCAAAATTTAAAGTTTTGTTTTAAGCTCTTTAATGCTGCGCTGGCAGTAAGAAACCATTGTTATTCTTTCGGCCACTGAAAGTGCGCAGGATTTTGTCTTCGGGTGTTTTAGTTTTTTTCTAACTCTTTTTTCGTTCAGATACCTCAAGTAATCTTTAGAATCGGTCAAATAATGTATCTTTTTATAGCCGTTTCACTTGTGATTTCAACGTTGTGAAAAAAATCTGAGTGTCGAGAAAAACTTTCTTGAATTTTATTTTCTTAATTTGACAGAATTAGCGAGCTAGTAGGCTTATAAAAAGCTACAAACAGTCTCATTTTTGTGATTTAAGTTAAGCCTTCAAAAATAAATGATACTTTATTTTAGCACGTTTTGGAATTTTGTTTTAGCCCCTTTTTTTAATAAATTTTAAATAAAATATAAAATTTTGCTGTAAAAAAATTGAAAACTCAAAAAAATTTCAGGATTTTTTAAATAAATTTTTAAAAATTTCTTTTTTTTTGTTTTTTGGTAAAAACTGTTGCTGAATATAATCAAATTATTGTTTCTGTTCAACATGCCTCAGCTTTAAGCTTTTGTTTATATCCTCTTATATCATCAGCAAAATAACGAGACTATTTGAAAAAAAAAGTTTTTTATTTGTTTTTCATTATTGTGGTCGGAACTTTTTGTTCTACCTGCACAGCAACCAGCTATGCTTGCTAAAACAATTTTTGCTTGATATATCAAATAGGTCAATGTCATTTGCGCTAAGCTATTCGCATGACATATCCGAACTTTTGTGTGTTCTATAAAGACTGTAACCTCTCATCGGAAAAGGTAGTGATTCAAAAATTGAATTGCTATCTAGTTTTCCACTGTTCTTTTTGTCCGAACATTGACCTATGACATAATCTGAGGCTTATTCAAATGATCTATTAATTTTAAAGAAAGTTTTTGTGAGCGGCAGCGCAATTTTCAAGTCAAAGCCGAAAAAAAAATAAAATTTATGTTTTTCTGAAACTAAGGGAAATCCTCAGCGGTAAAAAGTCTGTTTTTGTCCATGATTTTGTCAAAAAAGATCATCGTGGTCTTTCTTCGTTCTGCATCACATCACTCCTTCTTAAAACGAAGCTCTGATTTTTTTCTATCTCTATCTTTCTTGGGCCACCAACATGCGATTTTTTGTGTGAAACCAAAGAATTCATATTTGATGCGATGTTTGTGGTTTGGCAAATCATTTGATGATACCATCAGAAACGCCGAACGGCCAAAAAGTTTCTTGTTCCAAATACTTGAATTGGAATTTATAAAAAATATTAGCCAAATTTTGGTTTATGTGTGCTACTGATTTGAAAAAAAAACCAAAAATTAGACTCATCCGTCGCGTCAAACATGTTTGATTTAGTTTCGCCAATTTGTTCTTTTCTATCCCGCGTCACTTTCTATCCCCCATCAATCCAAATCTTCTTTTCAATAACTCGGTTGTTTCCGGAAAAACTCAAGTAAGGATGGGTTTTCTCATCAATTTAATCAGCTGATTCCGTAAAACTACAGAAAAGTTAACGTATTAATAGCTTCGAATTATCGAAAATCCTGGAGTTTTTGATGCTGGAAACTTTCGATATCATCAAAGAAAATTTTATAAATCAATAAAAAATGAGAAAAAGAAAAGAATTTTTATATGCAGGGGCGGATCTAGGATTTTCTCGAGGGGGGGGGGGCGGATTTTCAAAAAATTTTCGCAAATTTTGACCCCCTTTTTTTTAGGTCGACCAAATTGATTTTTCGAGTTCTCCCAAAGCATTGTTTTGCCCCTATTTTGGCAAAGTTTTCTGCGCCGCAATTTTGGCAAAATGTTGGCAAAATTTTCTGCGCCGGAAAAACAGTCAAAAAAGCCGTTTTTGGGCACTTTTTGAAAAATTTTGACAAAAAAATCGCGTTGTTTTGGCGCGCGCTCCCCCTCAAAAAATAGTTAATATTGGCGTAAAATTTTAGGATCGGTAGGCCAAAAATGGATTTCTTAAAAAGTATCAAAGGGGGGACCCTTTGGGTCGGCAGTGGGTCGAATCTCTAAAGAGAAACGTCCGCCCCCCCCCCCCCCGCCCCTCCCCCCTAAATCCGCCCCTGCTTATATGGTTTGTTTAAAGAAGAAATGTTTATAATGCTAACGGCTTCAAATCGCAGCACACTTAATTTGTTGATTTTGAACACTTTTTTCGAAAAAATACTGTTTGTTTCTAGCTGCACTGAACACGAACCAAATCCCGCGATGTCGAGCAAGGGCCTCAGCTGTTGCAACACCCACCGATAACTTCCCTAGTGGTGGCACAGGAGGGCTGCTTGTGGGAGGAGAGGTTAGCTCGCCCCAAACTGAACCCGAGGAGCACACCACAGATCCACATAATCAAAATTCAGGTTCAACTCACCCTATTTCGGGTGTTCCGTTGCCAACAATTCCAAACGGACGAGTGCGAGAGCCGATCAGAGCATCAACTAACAGTCAGTTATTGTCTAATAATTATTTCATTTTTCAAAAAAAAAACTAAATTGTGGATAAAACTCGAACCAAATTTTGCAAACAGACGAAGCCATCTTTGTGAAAACAATCTAAGTATTGCTGGAAAGTTTTTTTGAGTTTTTAAAATTTTTAAAGTGGGTTTATTGGTTTAATAATTGTCCAGGTATAACTAGTCTGACGCCTCACCAATCGCACGGAGCAGTAGCCGGAGGATCTACCCCTGGCCCCGATCACATCCCCACGGGGACGACACAGTCTCCAATTCAGTGCACTGGAGGAGGTGCTAACCTGGCGCTTCCCCTCGGAGTGGCAATGCGAGGTTTGAGTTTTCTTAACGATATTTATATTTCGAAAACTGATGCTGGTTTAATTACTGCTAACTGTTAGAACGAAGTTGTTGAAAACACACGAAACTTCCTAATATTGCAAGTATTTCACAGCTTCTTTTGCTCGTATGATTCGTCCAAGTAATTTTTAAGCAATTATCTCAACAGTTATTTGTTTTTCTTACCAGTTATGTATTTGAAAAGGGTTGTATATCTTTGAAAAAATAATAATACATTTTACTTTCCAGCTGTCAGGTTTGATGCGAGGTTATTATTACGAATGAGACTTTGAGTGAGCCTGTTCTGGTTGTTTAGGTCGTCGTGCAAGTATCATGCCCGTGTCAGACGAGTGTCTGAGCAACAATATCATCCCGGACACTGACGACGGAGAGGAGATCCCAATTGAGGAGTGGCAGGAGAAGTACTCGGTCAGCTGCGGATTACATCCCTCAAAGTACGCATAACTCCACTTATCAGCGGCTACTTTGTTTTTTTTCTTCAACTATTTGGACCAATTAGCTTCCTAATCTGCTTAACTTTAAGTTAGACTGTGATGAATAATCAGTGCATATGCCTTTTCACTCTTTTTGGAGCTAATTCTCTGACTTCTCCATTTAAATCTGGGAAACATATATTTATTTGTCATAGTTTTTCACTTTTTTGTTTTAGATACATGAAGGGCTACCCGGCGATCCTGCCCTACACTGGCTTCTGGTCTCCACAGGTGTACCTGATCCCTGATTTGAACACCCTCCAGCCCTGCTGTCTTAACATCACCCTACCATGTCTACACAGACCAACACATCTCAGGTTAGCCTTTTCTTTTGCTTTTATGATGTTTTTTGAGATCAAATATTTCTTATAGAACTGCTTAACTTAACTGTAATATAGCTTCAGACTTGCGATGAGTAAAAACAATCAGAATTAATGATAATGGTTGTTTGTTTTTTTTTTCCCAGAATTTTGGTCATTTGAACCATTTTAATACATGGTTCCTCTGATGTTTTGGGACTGTTTTGGAAAAGCAAAAAAATTATACGACTGAATTAACTGGATGATTGAATGAAAGGGTAATTTCGTTTCTAGGAGTGCAATGGACCACAACTTCCCCTCCAAGTTCGTGCTGATTGCGGCCGAGTACCCCACCCTCGCCCTCTTCAACTTCGTGGTGCCTCTCCGGTCCCACTGCAGACCCAGATATGCTCTCAACCCAGTGGTGCTGTTGTTAGAACAAGAGTGGGTATTTTTTGAAAATTTTAAAGCTGTTTTCGGAATTGAAAAGGGCGACTGAGATACTGCATAGTGTATTAATATACTTGCGATACAATGAGCTTCAAGTTTGCTCAGATATGTTTTATATACACTATATACTGAAGCATCTTTAATCAATAAAATTTTTAACTTAAAATATTTTTAGTAACTTAAAATTGAAATAGCAAGAAATTGAAACTCAAGTCAGATATGCAAATTGGGTCCTTTCATTGATTGCAGCACTTTAAAAGCGGTTAATGAAAACGTTCTACTTACTTTCTGTTAGGCCAGACGCCCAGTTCTTGGAAGCCATGACCTGCTACCCCATGGTGTACTATGCACTGGGCAACATAGAGAGGCTGGACGATGTGTTGAGAGCAGGGATCTGCAGGGCCGAGGCAGTGGTCATCGTCGGCAAGGAGTCCAGCAAGACGGCCAAGGAAGAGTACATGGCAGACTCACAGACCATTGTTGCAGTACAGACGCTTTGCAAGTTAGTGGTTTTTTTGTTTATTATCATAGTCAGGTCTAGCCTGGAGTTTAAAATGTATTTTGAAGCATGCACAAAAAACTTAAAACCTCGTTGATGCCAATTTGAGAGGTTAAACGCTAGGGATTTTAAAATGATTGATTGAACTTAGCTTCCAATTGCTACATTAGAATCTAGAAGCTATCAACGTATTCTAATTAGAGCAATATCAGATCTGAATTCTTCGTCTGAAATCGTCTGGATTCTTCGGTCTGAATTAGATCATTCTAAGTTCTTCTATTGTTTTTAAATTTTAGTGAACAAAGTGAAAACACTTTTTACTTTTATTTTATTTTCGAGAAAAATCTAAAAAGAGGTCTGCGCTCATTTTATTCTCGGTTTCAATTCAGAACTTCAAAAAAAATTATATTCAAATTAATTTCTAAATCAGAAAGTATGATTCATTTTTAGTTTCAAAAGTATATTTTGTTTTTAGATTTTCTAGCGGAATAGAAAAATTCTCTAGTACCCAGTTCTCAAAAATTCGGAATAGAAGTTTTTTAATGTTTATCTTTTAGATACTGAGAGGATACTATTTTGGTTTATGAGCGATTACGACTAGTGAACTTAAGATAAAGCATTTGAAAACTCTCAGATGAATTAGGTGGGAAGTTCATCCTAAGTTTGACTGAAGCCTGAAACAAAATTTGGTCCTAAAAACGAAAAAATAAAAAATGCAGATCAGTTATTTTCGACACTGAGACAACTTTTTCCAATGTTTTAACAAACCCGAATCACGGCGAAAGAGCTTTTTTTGATATTCGACTCCAAGTACAGTGCTGATTTAAATTAACCGGACAAAACGCGTTATACTTGAAATTTAAAACTTGTTTTTCTCAAGTTGGGTTGAGTTTAGGTGAGAACTTATGAAGACAAAACTTGCTTAAAATTTTAGCACAATTAATATAATATAATATGTTTTTGAAGTTTGTTGGGCTACGTAAGGGGCTCACTCTGATATAATTATGTCTGTGATCGACTGGATATTTTCGGCATAATTTTTGATTAACTAAGAAAAACCAAAATGAACCATTTTTGGGGTAAAATTTTGGACCCGAGTTTTGCAAAATAAATTATACCATATTAATTCTGCTAAAATTTTAAGCAAGTTTTGTCTTCATAAATTTTCATCTAAACTTAACTCAATTTGAGAAAAACGGGTTTTAAATTTCAAGTTTAACGCGTTTTGTCCGGTTAACTTAAATCAGCACTGTAGTCGTAACAAAAAAGCAAACGCAGGTTATTTGTATCTTTTTTATTACTCAGTTTATCCTTCTTTAGTTTGGATACATAATCTCCCTGTTTTTTGCATAGAGAAATGTATTTCCAGAAAACTTTGCTTTCACCCGAAGATCAACCAATATCTATGTTTATTTTTATCCGATTCGGTAAATTTTGTAAACGATAGACTAGGGCAGGGGCGGATTTAGGGGGGGGGGGGGGGGCGGACGCCTCTTCCCTCTCAGGGATTCGACCCCCTGCCGACCCAAAGGTACTTTAGTCCCTTCAGTACTTTTTCAGAAATCCATTTTTGGTCGACCGACCCTAGAATTTTTCTCAAGGCGCCTTTGACTCCAATATATACTAACTTTGAGAGATAGCGCGCGCCAAAAAGAAACCATTTTTTTGTCAACATTTTCTAAAAAATGCCCAAAATGCGGCGCAGAAATTTAGGCCAAATCAGCGTCTTTTTAGAAAAATTTTCGAAGCAGCCCCCTCGAGAAAATCCTAAATCTGGACTAGGGCCATGTAAAAGAAGTTCCATCAACTGAAACGCAAAGTTCGTTGAAACTCAATTACCACAAAAACATTTGCAACGATAAGTACAATTTTGCATATGAAGCGGTGAGAAGAAGTCGTTGAAGCTACGGACCACGGTGTCGTCTTGATTAATGTTCCGACTTTCGATACGAAACTAACGGAATAATTGTGCTCGGGGTGGGTTTTTTTCTTTAGACAAATTTCGACTTTTTAACTAGTAATTTTTGACAGATTTATTTTTAATCAATCAAAAAGTATTGTTGTCTAAGCTTACATTTGAAAAAATATTTCTACTGTGATTATTTTTTTGTAAAGTTATGGGGGTTTAAAGACTGGCCAATTTGGGACAATTAACGCGCGATATATTTGGCGCTATTAACGCTTAAGCGGAGATTTAATCCGTCGAAGAAATCGTTCCAAATTGGTTGAAAGAAGCTTATTTGCCATAATTGATTTGTTACAAGGAGTGAAATTTATTCTTTTCTGGTTTATGTGGCGTGTCGGGTGATGATTTTCATTTTAAAAAAATTCAAGTTTGAGAAAAAAAAATTTTTCATTTTGTTTTATTACATTTAATTTTTTTGTTATTACTGCTCTATAGACCTTAAAAGGCAGTCGAAACGTTCGATGCTTTGCCCTGATACGAACAGTCTTGTTTTGTTTACTGTTGAACAAGAAGCGAAACAGTTCAAAGAGATAGAAACAGCACATCACAGCAACCAAAAAATTTACTACGGTCTGATTTATTTTTTTTTGAACAAAAAACAAAATAATCAAGTGAGATCAAAACAGCACATCACAGCAAGAAAAAATTTCATCTGTCGATTTGAATTCCAATAATCGTTCCGAAATCTTTGGGAAATCTTTCATGGGAAATCTTTGAAGTTTTCGAAGTGGATATAAAAAAAATCTGATTTTAGCAGGCGGGATTTTCAAGGTTATAAGATGTATCGCAGTATTTGTTCTTTTTAGATCTCGGAAGTAGGACTTTTAAAAAAAATTGTTCAGGTTTTTTTTAAAAGTTTTTTTTTAGGTTGTTTCCAGCTGTTTCGGTCATAACGGAGTTAACGCATCCCTCCAATATGCGCTTCATGAGATTTCACGCCTCAGAGAGGTTCGACAGTCTTCATCTGACCAACAAGGAAAAGGTAAGTTTCCTTTTTACACCATCTTATAAGTTCGATGCTTCAATCTACTTTTGGACTCGACTTCCAGAGTTAGATTATTATTATGTGTTTTGGGATTTGCAGCTAGTAATTTTCACCCTTTGTGACTTCATTGATAGGTGTTAGTGCTAAAAAAACATGTCCATGCAAAAAAGTTATATGATTGCATATTTGTAATTAGCACGACAATATTGCTTTTCAATTCTAAAGATACAATTTTTCCAGCCACATTTTGTCTACAAGTTTTGATATGTTTTTGATTATTTTAAGTCTGTCAAACAAGACTGAAAAGTTTAGCTTCTCCGATCAAACATACATAGGCTTAATTGTTTTCAGAAGACAGAAGTGCTGGTAGGTTCCTTGTATTTGTACTGCCTTGGCATACTTATTACTGCTATTTACTTACTGTTATGTTGCTGCTAGAGATAATACTTAAATGATGATGATGATATGACGACGATAATGATTGCAATCTACCTTGTTGTTCCGATCACTTCAGGTTTGCACAGGGTAGAGTATTTTGCTCACAACCTTGAGTACATTAGAGAATTTGTTTTCAATTAACTATGGTGTTATACGAAAAATCGCTCAGTTGTAATTTGCTTTCCAAAAAACAACATAGCAAATTGCTAAAAACTCATTCTTTGTAAAGAAAATTTGGGCTATATTTTTGAGTGCTAGACCAATAAATGGTGGCGGAAGGTGTCGGCGAGAAAACAGTTGGGAGTGAAAAGAAGATTCAATTACTAAAAAATTTTCTGGAAAAAAAACTTCAAACTTTTTGAATTTTCTGGGTTTGCTAATTGTGGTCGGAACAATCTGTGCGTTTAGCACAGCCACAGGCTCTTTTTTGTTCCACTAAGGAATTGACTTAACAAACTAGTTTTTGCCTCATCACAATAATGGAAATCAGTTGACATAGCCCAGCATTTTCTCTCAGTCTTGCATCATTCCTGCAGACTGAAGTTTACAGATTTAGTAAAAGCTTATCTTTCAATTTTAAAAATGGGAACTTTTACCTTGATGAAACAGTAGAATAACTAGAGGATTTCAAAGTTTTCGTTTATTTGCATGATTTTACCGAACTAATTGAAATGGCTGAATGATCCCAGATTACCTCGTGTACTACTCTAAGTACTTTTAACTCTTCAGAGAAAACCCGATTACTTGAGCTGATTAGTTTTCCTTAAAATTTGATTACCCAAAAAGAGCTTTCACAAGTTTTCAATTCTTCTTCAACTGTGACTTAGGCGGTTGTGTGTGGTTTGATATTTGAGTCATGATTTTGATTTAAGAAAGATATTTCTCAATAATTTTCTCGGTTTAAATCAAAACTTTGTAGTAGTTTGAACATAGTTGATAAATGCCCGAGGAAAAAAAAGAGCCCGGCCTGAGGGCACGAAGTGCCCGAGTGCGGCTATTTTGCCCGAGGCCATCTTCAACTATGTTCTAACTGTTGAAGAGTTTGTTTTTGCTCTTTCTGAGGGAAAGATGCCAGAAAATTGTGAAAGAGCCCGAAAAAATGTGAAAAAGCCCGGAAAAGTGCGAAACTATGCAAATGTATTCTTTTTTCATTCATACGTTCTAATACTTCATTTTTCATTCATGCCTTGTCGTGAAAAAGCATTGTGAAAGAGCAAAAAGATACTCTTCAGTCTGAAAGCTTTTTAGTTACCAGACTAAATTTTAGCGGCTGGTTAATTATGACCAGTATGATTTCAATGTTCGGGGAGAGATTTTAATGAAATGTGGTAAATAAGAAAAAACATAATCGAAGTTGATTCCGGTAATTTCGTTTCAGGCTGCACTTCGTCAAATTTGACAATTCGCCTTTAGAATTATTTGAAAAAAAAACTTTTTTTTTCGACTTCAACCGCTAAACATGGAATTTAATTTTTAGATTTACAGCGGAATACAAACTTTACCTAATGATTCAGTTTTCTCAAGTAGGGTTATTGTTATCAGGAAAGTGTAAATCATAGTTTTTCCCAGAAATTCAATGAGCTTAAAGGGCATCTATTTTTTTTGAAAATCGAAAGTTGAGATTTTTCAACGAAGTCAGTGTTTTTTTTCTGTATACTTGCGGCCATTACTCTTTTCCAACTGCCAGTTGGCCAAGTTTAAATTTTGAATGTATCTGTTAGTTTTCAGACTTACTTGAGAAAAACTACCTCTTGACCAAGTTTTCTTCTATTGAGTTAGTTTCATGAAAAACGATCCTTTCATCAAATGTTTTCGATAAAAACTTTATTTGTGTGATTTATGTCGAATCAATAGCAATTTAATGTGATTTTTCTCCCAATTTTTTTTCCACAATTTTTTGATTTCGTTGAATTTGTTGAAAAAAAAAATTTCAAGTTTGTGTAAGCTGCAATTTTAATTATCTTATTTTCAAAAATCTCAAGTCAAATTTTTTTGATACTTTTTATTTTGATAAATCTATAAATTTCTGATAAATGGCGATAGTTGAGTGTTTTTCAGATTAAATATTTTCTGATTTGACATTCAGTTGATTTTTGCTTGCAGTTTTTAATTGCTTTTTTTTAAAAAAAAAACGTTTTGTGATATTCAGTAACTAATCGTTGAATCGTTTTCTTGGCACTCAAGGAAAATATATAATTTTCATCGAAAATTTGGTTTTTGATATCAATTTGCATGATTAAAATTATGGAGGAGAGAACCTTTTTTGCCATAATGTGAAGTAAGTATTTGTCCCAATTTACATATCAAATGTGGGATGATTTCTCTTTCAGATTGGTTTCGGAGACAAAAAATTATATTTATATCAAAAAAATTTTATTTAGCTTTTTTAAATCCAATTAAATTTAAACCAACTAGACTACGCTCAGAAAAAGTTTTTTTCTAACCACAGCAAATGTTTTAAAGGTTTGACCATTTTTTATGCTTTTTGTTTTAAATTGTAAGCAATGCTGGTACGTAACGGGATTTTGTTAATTCTCAATTGTAAATGTTTTGGCGAGCAATGTAAATGTTTTGGCGAGCAAATTGAAACTAATTATTTACTTTTAGACGCAAAATGTTTCGCAAAGTTTGTTGGCTAAGTGCCAATTATCAATTTTCAATAGGAGGCACATTTCTGAAAAATAAATTGTGTTTTTGAAAAGCCTCGATTTCAAGTTTCTCGAAAAAATCAATGTAATATCTAAAAATTGTCAAAAAAAGTCAAATGTATGAGCTGTTAATATGTAGCACTGCTTAACATGAGCAGTCGTACTCGTTCTCTGTAAAGCAAACTAGATAACCGTCTAATTAAATTTCAACCAAGCCGCGTAATTTTTTTTAATGAAAAAGAAACAAAAATCAATGAAATTTTTCATAGTCATAACGAACGCCGCGGTATCTAACTGGTCTCCAGACTTTGTGCGCTTATATGGCTTAGATTGTTTTTTTTTGCGATATTCAGAAACATTAATTAGACTTTCAAAGCAAAAATTTTAACAAGACTGTTCGTATCAGGGCAATGCCTTGAATGTTTCGTTTGAATGCCATGTAGCGTCTATGAAATAAATTTCAATTTATGAAAACTTGATGAGCTTTTCACTAAACAGCAAAAAATTGATTTTAAAAATTTCGTTAAAAGATGGTAAATTTGTTTTGTTACAATAGCGTAACAATTAGGAAACATAATCCCAAGTTCAACTGAAATAATTTAAGCTGGAATAAATAGCCGCTTACGCGTTAACAGAACAAAGCATACTGAGCATTATTTACCCACAAAAAGCCAAATTGGCGTTAGACAAACACCCATGATTTTAAGAAAAATGATCACTGTTTCAATTTAGAGCATCGATAGTTTTCAATTTATTAAAAATTTCCGCAAATAACGAGAAGTTAAACTGTTTTTTCTAATATTTCAAGTTCTCGTTATTTGCAAAAAATTTTAAAAAACCGAAAACTATCGATTCTCTAAATTGAAACAGTGATCACTTTTCGGGCCGGAGAAAAGAAGAAACGCCAGAGCATAATTATTCTGTCACTATTTTAAAAGTCGGAACAAAATCGTTAAATAGTTCTCTGATATGCATCATTATTCGGCTTATTAAAACGAGTGTTGCTGAAGGAAGTTAAATTTAACCGTATTGAAGCTCCATCGATTTTAACTTGTGTTTCATCATTTTAAGTAATTCAAGAGTTTCATCATTGCTAACCAACCGCAATCTCAGCTTTGTGGTACGACTTCGGCCAGAGCATTAGAAAGCAACATACATGCAACCTATTTCGGATCTATCTTGCAATCCCCCTTCAAGAAAAAGGGATTGTGATATAGATTAAATCGACGAATTTTTGACTAATCAGAACGCAGCAAAATTAGAATTTTCAAAGAAGTTTCTATCGCTTGTTTACTGTTCTTATTTAGAATGGAGAAGGGGTATTTAGTAGATAACAAGGGGGATATTCAGTAGATTCCATATTCTGTTACGTTCTTCGAAACTCGGAAAAACGAGAGGGAGTCAATCACGAGCTGCTGCTCTGTCATTAACCTTGCTTATAAAAAAAATTCGCGCTCTGTTTGTGCAAATTGTCGCAATTGCGTTTTTGTGGCTTAACTTTCAGCTAAACTGCTAAACAGCATGTAATCAAGTTTTACGGGTTTCAGTTTTCCTTTATTTGAATTGAGTTTTTTAGTTTTTACAATTTTAGCACTTGTCACCCTCTCGTATTGGGTTATGGGTTATATAGTGGATTGTTTCGCTAAAAATAGCGTATATGACCTAATGTTTTTGCTCCGAAAAATCAAACCCTCTCTGATTGAGAATAGCATGGCAGGTAGTGTATCAATTAGCGAAAGCAAGAATGAACGCGATTTTAGTTCCATTTCAAAAAGTAAGTACTTCAGTTAAGCTTTTGTTGTATTGAAAAGTGTCTTGTGGCTCGTCTGTATTAAGTTCCAACCGGCGTGATTTTTTTTCTTCAAAAAATACCAAGACCCACAAAAATAGAAACTAATATATTAGTTAGCGCCGAAGGATGTCTTAAAATAGTACCAGAAATAGTCCCTCGGTGGTCATGGGATCGAATCCCCAAGAAAAAAAGAATGTTCGCATACTCCAATAACCTCACACCCTCAGTCCGATACTGTTTTTAGCATGATACTTAAAATATAAAAATAACATCCATAGGGTTTGTAGAGAAAACAGAATCTCAACATCGATAGAAAAGAGTCTGCCAGGATTTTTAATCGGCTCTAAAATCAATTCCTGTTTTTCTTTCATTTTTTGTAATATAAAAACATAACCATCATAACTTTGCAACATGACTAAAGTGGTTTTATATGCAAACTGTTTGACCCCTTAATTGATCTGCGTCTGACCTCTGTTGCAGAAAGCGAAGAGAGAAGGATCCACTCTGACGTCATACCTCTATCGGAAGCCATTTGCTGCTGGTCACGTGTTCAGTGCGAGCATGTTGGACACTCTGCTGTACCAGGCCTTCGTGAAGCCATACATCGTCGGCATCACCAATCTATTCCTCGGACTCCAACAAAACGACAAGTCAGGTCATCTCTTCAGTGTAAGTTTTTGTTCTGTTATTTTGAATTCTCCGTGTGTCAATTACTATTTTAAGTACTTTTGTACCATATATTTTGACGGTTGATTTTAGGCAGAAAAAAAGACTAAACTTGCGCGTGATTACATAGTTTTTCAGATGAGAAATCAAAACAAACCTCAATTAAGAATTAACGCTTCCGCTGTCGAAAGCAAATTCATATGGAGTAGATCGCCTTGACCCAAGCCCCAGTTAATAAAAAGATGGTTCAAAGCACAGCAACTTACTTTAAACAACTCAAACTCATATCTCGTCCATTACTTAGAGTTTAAAGAAAGTGATATCATTTTTTAATTATTGTTGTCATGCTTGACAGATGCAAATCACAGAAAAGGAGCTTTGGATTCGGACTTATGGCAGGTTGTTCCAGCGACTGTGCTCCACCACTTATGAGATCCCGATTGGCATTTACCGCTATTGTTCCGAACAGGACGATTTCGGAGGAGGGTCGGGAGGCAAAGGCGGCCACGTGGAGATCACCTTCGAGAACGACTCCGACTCCGATTTTGGAGGGTGAGTATCGGAACATTTTTTTGAAAAGGCTTTTGTTTTCAATTTTAGTATCAATTTTATTAGCTTTTATCTAAGTTAGCAAACTAACAAAAGGAACAGTTTTTCCCCCTGGGCCTCATTGATAGATTGAACTTCAATGCAAGTTTCTAGAATACAATCGTACAATCGTAGCTATTTTCTGATGTTTTATTTAGTGACAATTGTTGAAGATCATCAAATAGAGAGAAAATTGGATATTATATGTTATGGTTGACTCTTCAACATATTCTTAACATGAAAACCAAAAACTAAATGCATTCGACAGTTTTCTCTCTATGATTTTCAGCACAACTATCGCTTAAAACATCATAAAATGCACAAGCTATTATAATTGGATAGAAGTCCTTAGTAAAAAATCTTACAAACGCTGGTTACAAAATGTTATTACAACAACCTATCTGTTAACAGTTATAACATTGCAGTCAAAAATGCAGTCTCTAAAATTGAGATGTCGGTGATATGTTAGAACAGATGGTAAATATGATTAGAGTGCAGGTATTGGTTTTGAAAACTATAATGCATTATATACCCGGGTTGACAAAAACATGCTTATCACATAATTTCCTACAATGAAAAAAATGTTTTTATGTTTTTATACTATTTCATAGAAGACAAAAATAAATAATATAGCAAAATGAGCATTTTTTTTTCCATTAAAAAGATATTTTTGAATAAAATTTTTCATACTATGAAATTGTATGATGAGCATTTTTTCATACTATCAAATTGTATGACAAGCATTTTGTCCGATAAAAAAGAAATTTTTCTCATTTTTTAAAAAAATTTTGTGTCGTAAGCTAAAAGTTTTGTACATATAAAAAACAAAGAGTGAGTGACAGTTATCACGCAGATAAACTACTTGTGGTGATCTCGGACAAAATGTTAATTTTTGAAGATATTTGACCAAGAATACGTATTTTTACACCGAAGACTTTAGTCAAGGTGTTATGGTATCGTGTAACGGGTTTTTTTTTAATGTTGTCTGTTGTCAAGTGTCGACAAATAACGTCCACAGTTATCAATTATCATGTGGGCTGGACTATATCGCGCTATGTCACGTGATTGCGTATGTTTGTTTCTTTATTTGTTCATCTTTATTTATTTAATTATCTGTTCTTCTATTTATTTAATTATGTTTAGTTTGCTTATATTTATTTATAATTTATGTATGTACATATTTATTTTTGTTTATTTTTATCACGTGTTTTGTTTATTTATTTAATTATTCTTTCTTTCATTTAGTTTTGCTTTTATTATTTCTGCGTGTATAAATTTATTTATTTATTTTCATTTATTTATATTATGGGTCTGTTTGTTTGGTTATTTGTTCATATATATTTTTTCATGTCTATTTAATTATTTGTACATTTCACTTTTGCTTTTATTTATTTATTTATTTATTTATTTATTTATTTATGTATTTATTTATGTATTTATTTATTTATTTATGTATTGATTTATTTTTTTATTGCTTATTTATTTATCAGGTGTGTTTTGTTTATTTGTTGATATTTATTTCTATATTTATTTAATTATTCTTTCTTTCATTTAGTTTTGCTTTTATTATTTATGTATGTGTATTTATTTCATTTATTTATTTTCATTTATTCATATTATGGGTCTGTTTGTTTGGTTATTTGTTCATATTTATTTTTTCATGTCTATTTAATTATTTGTACATTTCACTTTTGCTTTTATTTATTTATATATTTATTTATTTATTTATTTAGTTATGTATTTATTTATTTATTTATGTATTGATTTATTTTTTAATTGCTTATTTATTTATCAGGTGTGTTTTGTTTATTTGTTGATATTTATTTCTATATTTATTTAATTATTCTTTCTTTCATTTAGTTTTGCTTTTATGATTTATGTATGTGTATTTATTTCATTTATTTATTTTCATTTATTCATATTATGGGTCTGTTTGTTTGGTTATTTGTACATATATATTTTTTCATGTTAATTTAATTATTTGTACATTTCAGTTTTGCGTTTATTTATTTATTTATTTATTTATTTATTTATGTATGTATTTATTTATTTATGTATTGATTTATTTTTTTATTGTTTATTTATTTATCAGGTGTGTTTTGTTTATTCGTTGATATTTATTGCTATATTTATTTAATTATTTTCTTTCATTTAGTTTTGCTTTTATTTATTATTCATGTATGTATTTATTTATTCACTTATTTATTTATGTTTATTTATTTTTGGTTTGTTCGTTCATTTATTTATTTATTTAGTTAGCGTCTTTGTTGTTTGATTATGAAATTTGATGTTTTACTTCTTAGCTATGTAGTTAAAAGCAAAAAATGATTTTCAATTTATTGTTCTGTTTAGGATATTTTCAGAAAGATCTGTATATCACCAATTAGCGTACAACGATTTACAGGGAACGCTGCCAACGAGATTTGTCCACTTGCTTTTGGGTTGCAGCTACATCAAAAATGATTTTAAATTATTTATTTTAAAGATTTATCTATAGTTATATCTGTCCGGTAATTAATTTTCAAATTTGCTTTTGTATTTCTCAAAAAAGAATTTGTTGGAGCGTGGACTCCATAACGTAAAGCAAAATGTTAATTTTGGTGTATACATGTGTTAGTACGATTTTTAGCTCTAGAACTGTTATTCCATGATCTTTGTCAATATAGCAAAAATTTGACGTATACATGTGTTAGTACGATTTTTAGCTCTCGAACTGTTATTTCATGATCTTTGCCAATATAGCAAAATTTTGATGTATATATGTGTTAGTAAGATTTTTAGTTCTACAACGTTTATTCAGGCTCTTTGTCGATATAGCAAAATATTGGTGTATACATGTGTTAGTACGATTTTAGCTCTAGAATTGTTATTTCAGGCTCTTCGTCAATATAGCAATATTTTAGCGTATACATGTGTAAGTACCATTTTTAGTTCTCGAACTGTTATTTTATGATCTATGTCAATATATCAAAATTTTAGTGTATACATGTGTTATTACGATTTTTAGTTCTCGAACTGTTATTTCATGATCTTTGTCAATATATCAAAATTTTATTGTATACATGTGTTAGTACCATTTTTAGTTCTCGAACTGTTATTCCATGATCTTTGTCAATATAGCAAAATTTTGGTGTATACATGTGTTAGTACGATTTTTAGTTCTCGAACTGTTATTCCATGATCTTTGTCAATATAGCAAAATTTTGGTGTATACATGTGTTAGTACGATTTTTAGCTCTCGAACTGTTATTTCATGATCTTTGCTAATATAGCAAAATTTTGGTGTATACATGTGTTTGTACGATTTTTAGCTCACGAACTGTTATTTCAGGATCTTTGTCAATATAGTAAAATTTTGTGTATACATGTGTTAGTACGATTTTTAGTTCTAGAAGTGTTATTTTATGATCTTCGTTGATATATCAAAAATTTAACCTATACATGTGTTAGTACGATTTTTAGTTCTAGAACTGTTATTTCAGGCTCTTTCTCGATATAGCAAAATTTTGGTGTATACATGTATTAGTACGATTTTTTGTTCTAGAACTGTTATTCTTCAATTATTAGTTGTTCAAGTTGTTTGGTTTTTGCTTCAGTTTCTATGCCTTCGGTGTATTGCGCGTAGCGCCTATGTTTTTGTATATGGGTAGAAAAATTCAACTTTGAAAAATTCAGGGCGTGAAAGAAATAGCCTATGCGTTGACAGATATGCGTTTATCGTAGCATATAAAAACAATAAACACTTTTTGTCTTCATACAAAACCTTGCTCAAATTGTTTTGGATTTGTTATGCGGAAAATTCAGCCTTGACTACTTTATAGACAAAAACGATTAAATTTTGGTTTAGCAAAGTTTGATGTTGTTGCCAAAGTCGATCTTCATTAATAAAAACTGTCACAGGTATGTTTTATTTGAATTTCAAACGAATTAAGGATAATATTTGAAGAAAACAAATTGATTGAAAAAAGACTCATCATGCATTTTCCTTCTCTGGTAATAGTTTGATAAGCTTTTTTTTTCATAGACTCCAGATAAGAACTTGTTTGATAAGCATTTTTCTTGTATGGACGTCAACCCGGATAGTCATTTCATTTTCACTCAATTGCTCCTGCTGCTAAAAGTATTTTTTTTTTATAAAAACACTACTCTGCCAAATGAAATTTTATTCAAAAAGTCAAGTTTTACTCTTCATTCGCCAAAAAATTTGGCTTTTGAAAAAAATTATAAATACTGTTCGAAGAACAACAACAAGTAAAAATCCAGCTATTCAGCTTGAATATGCTGCCTATCGTAATATATCACCGAGATGTCTTGTGACCTTTTGGTTCATTTGAACCCAAAATTTGACCAGGAAACAGAAGTTTCATAGTGATCCCTGCATACTAGTTAAAAGATTCCCTCGCTGAATCTGGAAATGGCCAATTATGATCACGCTGATCGCGCCGCTGCAAATCCCTTCGGGTCGTTTCCTAGGATGCGCCGGTCGAGCTGCCACTTCCTTGGTAGCGAAAGTCTGAAATTGGTAAAGTTTTATTGTGAACAAACAGAATATTAGTTGCGCAAGTCTGGTTGAGCTATCTCCGCCTTGGTTTTTGATCGCGAAAATCTATAAATGGCAGTTCTTGGTCGCGAAAGCCTGGACAGGAGTCGCGGACTTTGACCCGGTTGGGTTCTTAACAGAGTACCCTCAGAGTATTACCCTCAGAGTATTAATGATATTTGGGGTAACAATTAGTTTGTCTCGACTCAGATGCGACATGGGAGGCTACCCTGGAGAGGGTGGAATGGGCGGTGCAGGGGGAGGGGGAAGTGGTAGCTACAGTCACCATCACTACTACCAGCACTATGACCACATGGAGAAGGAGAGGCTGGACGAAACTGTGCGACAGCGGATGGAACAACTGGGCATGAAGCCAAAAGCACTCAGTGGTAAGTGGATGCTTTAACTCAAACTACTCTGATTGGAAAGTCATTTAGAAAAGTACAACTAGACAGACTTCGAGTTTTAGTCTGAAATTTTAATTTAAGTTTGAAATGGAAGCCCATCAAGATTCTAATAAAAAACTAAACAAAAAAACTATTATATACATGGAAAATTTTAAACTCTTCAAAATTACTGAAAAAATTGCCGTGTAATCCTATGCATAAACGACCAGACATAGGTGTCACAATAAAGTATATTCGTTTTGCACGTATATACTTTTATAAAAATCACATAGTATATTAGTAATCAATTAAAGTTAAAACATTACTGTTTCAGATTTCATAAGTCACAACCGTTAGTAAAACCCGCTTCTTCTGATTTGACTATCATTGACTGAAAGCTTATGGTTTTCATGGCAGCAAACGAGATTTTTAGTTTTCCTTGAAAATAATGATTTAGAGTAGTCTTGTTTGTGTTTGTATTTTTTTCTATAGTTTTTAGCTGTAAATTATTTCACACAACATGCCACGTTTCATGCAGATTTCGCAATCTGTTTACTTTTTAGAGCTCTTAAGATCCAACTTTTTAAAACGAACTAACACATCGAAAGCGACTCTCAACTGAGCTTAAACTAAAAATCTATAATCTCTTATTAAATCGTAGTTTCCATTTTTTTCTAACCAGCGATTAGAAAAAGCGAAGACCAAACAAAAAGAAAACGTTGTTATATGTTACTTATAAATCTCCACTATTGTAAACAACTATTGCCAACAATGACAACTATGACCTTTTGGTTGATCATTTGTGCGCTTATTGGGTGTATTCGATGCGAAATGATGGATTGGACCAATTTGTCAGCGGAAGCAATCAAAAGCCATTTAAACCCGCAAAATGACCCGCTCATTAGTCTTGAAGTCATGAATGAAATTATGGGCGGAACATTCTTAATGGGAACAGACGCACCTGATGCCAATCATGGCGAGAATCCTTCGAGGACTATCAACGTCCGGACGTTCCATTTAGACCGATATCCTGTAACTATTTCACATTTCAAGAACTTCTTGCTGAGAAAGAAACGATACAAACCTCAGTGTATTTTAAATGGATACAGTTACGTGACAAAAGGTCTGGAGGCGAAGTACGTAGACCGAAATTGTGTGGAACCGCATCCGGAAAATGATCTCTACAACCGGGTTCCAGACGCTTCCTGGAAGTACCCAGAAGGTAAAAGGTCTCTATTGTGAAGCGATTTATTAGTGTTTCATATGAATGTCCAATTAACTAAATAGTTTTAACAAAAAAATTTTAAAGAGAAGATTCCGAAAATGTTTTTAAATGTTAAGTTCTGGATAAATAATATTTTTCAAATTGTAAAATTCATTCAAAAACTTCAAGTCGCTTCACAATATGGACTCAGGCAAAGGTTCAGCCCTGGACGACAGACTGTTCCACCCCGTGACTCATGTCTCCTATGAGGATGCACAGGCCTACTGTCTGTGGAAGAAGAAGCGACTGCCCACTGAGGCTGAGTGGGAATTCGCTTCCAGAGGGGGACTGCAGGAAAGTGATCAGTATTCAGAAAAAGACACAAAAACATGCAGTTAAAACATGGGGAACTGATGCAAAATTTATCATTAGTCTTGAGCAAAAATCAGACCAATCAACTTTTTTTAAATTGTTTTTGCACTTATGCTAAAATTAAATTACTATTATTTAAAAAGCTCGCTCACTATGTGGTGTAGGTTCAATTTATGACTATTGGAAACAGAAATTGGATGATTGACATGGAGACCCTGTTATAATCAATAAAATATCATAAAAGTCTTATTTAATGCTGATCACTACCAGGAGAAGAAGTTCCCATGGGGTGGTAAGTTCAAAACGAACAGATCCAATCTATGGCAGGGCGAGTATCCTAACGGCGGCAAAGCAGAAGACGGTTTCAATATGACGTCACCTGTCAATCAATTCCCCGCCCAAAATTCATACGGGCTGTTTGACATGTTGGGCAATGTGTGGGAATGGACGAATGCTGTGTTTAAAGATAGGGAGAGAAAACGAAGGGTGGATGCACCGAGGCTGTTTGTTATGAAGGGTGCTTCGTTCGTGGATACTGTTAAGGTGGGAATTGTCTATTAGCATGTGTGCCGGTTCGCATACGGACTTTAAGAGCTTTTAGCTTTATAATTTTTGTGGATTTTTTGGAACATTTACAGACTTTTATGATTTTTTTAAGGAATTTTGTAATTGTTAAAGCTGAATTTTTTTTTTGAAATTTCACCTAATGTCTATTTTTATAGAAAGAATCGAGAAGTTTGGGCCATAAAAAACAAATTGTTAGAAAAAGAATTGAATTTGTGATAATTGTATTTTTTTTGTTATCATTGAAATTGAAACTGATTTAGGTTATTTTTCTCGCATTTCATAACCAAATGAAAGGTGGCTTTTTATAGCGAAAAATCACACATGCTAAGGGTCATTCTCACTCTGAAGGTCGACCAGCCGAACCATCTTGCACGAGTTACTGCCCGAATGGGAGCCGAAGCAAAGTTCACAGCCAACAACGTAGGGTTCAGATGTGCGCTATCGAACGAACAAGCACACGCATTGCAAGTCAGAGTCCTTCCTGATCACGTGGAACTGTGATAAATTTCTGATACTTTCCGAGAGACGTTGTTTTGTCAATTAATCAGGACGGCGATGTTTTTAACCTACTTATTTGAATTATTTATTGATGCCAATAAAATTAAACATTTGAATTCACCGTTTTATATCACTGTATCAAAAAGGAAGGTTTAATTTAAACATAAGTAATCACATTTTTATTGAAAATAAACCTGAATGTTCCTATATTTCAAAATTTTTAGAAGTTTGAGGACTGAGTACAGGCTGAACTTTCGTGAAATGTTTTGACGCCTTGAAGTTGAAGTAATTAAGTAACTCAGCGAGGATTCAAAACTCACGAAGCGCGGTGAAGGTTGTTGAATGATTGCGGTGGTGGCGTGTTCTGCTTTCTTTTCTTAGATTCAGTTTTGTTTTCTTAGAACCTTCTGTAATTTCAAGCACAACGCAACAGAGTGCCACTTATGTGTTCGTGTCGTGTGTTTTCAGAGATTACGCGCGAGGACAAGAGGTCTCGCCACTCTTACGTCATCATCAACCCAGACTACGACTTCTCACTCAAGGTTGACGATATCATGTGAGCATGGCTGTTTACCATAGTTTCAATAGAATGTATATAAAAATGCGTTTTGAATGATTGCCAACACGCTGAAATATTAAAAATTGCAAGAAAGAGAGGTGTCATAAAGTACAAATTGCTCGGAAAGAATTGGCAAAGAAAAATACTCGATGACATGTCTAATCGAAAATGTCCAATTCATACTTCATCACTCATTCCAGGGGCGGATCCATGTTTTTCTCGAGAGGGGGATTTTCAAAAAAAATTTGAAAATTTTGTCGGCTTCTTTGATTAGGTCGAACAAATTAATTTTTCCAGCTCTGCAAAAGTCACTTAAAAGCCCCTGTTTTGGCCAAACCTTCAGGCAAAATTAAAAAAAGAACAGACCAAAAAGGCGTCCGCCCCCTCCCCTTAATCCGCCCCTTACTTGTTCCTTTTTTTTCTTTCTTTAAGAAATTGCAAAGAATTACCAGTTAAGTCAGAAAATCTGCTCCCTACAGTAAACATTTTTTGAAGGGGGAGGGGTGAAACTTACATGTCTCAGTTTAAAGTATGAGTTGCTCTTAGATATCTGATCCGTCCTCCAAAGCCAAACGCCACGCCCATTCCTCAGAGGCGTCGTCTGCCCCCAAAGCCCATCAACTTCAGAAGGGCATCCATCAGAAGGTGTAGCGTGAGTGTGTCACATGTACCAGGAGGCAACACCCCCAATAAGCAGAATCAACCGAACTCCTCTCATCATCCACTGAATTACACTGGAAGCAATACTCTAGCTGGGTTAGTAAAAAAAAGGGGAGCGTCATTCAGATTACTTGTTCCTCAATCCTGAACTCCAGAGGTTTCGACTTGATATATAGCAAGATTGGCGGTCTTTGCTTGCGAACAATTCGAAACTTCGTAGACAAATTAGGCAATAATGCATGTATGCCCTGGTCAAGGGCTCTTCTATTACTTTTTTGTTTTTTTTCTTCTAATTTTGAAATATAAAGGGACGCCTTTTTCATGTACATAAAAACGACAGGATGAAAATTTTCACAAATTTTAAATTCATGGATCAATTTTTTCTTTTCTAAATAAGATGACACAGAGGGGGTGGATCAAAAATATAACAACCGTTTGCAATACAAAAAGTTTTGTAAAAAACATAAATCATCACGAAAGTTTTTTGTGCGTTTTGTGAAAAAAAACACAAATAAATAGAAAAATAAAATAAATAACAAACAAACTTAATAGAAAAAATCAAAAAAAAACTAATTTTTTTTTTCGAATTTTTGCACAATATCTGATAAACACTTCATACATAAGTTTTTATCCTTTACGATTTAAACCAATTTTCGTAAATCAGTTTTTGCTGGACACTGGGATAGCTTCAAACCAGTTTTTCGTGATAATGGGGCAGCTTCTTTACTGTTATTTGAATCACGGTTCAAATAACTTGAGTATGATAGATATATCATTCCATCCATTTCGATGATCATTTGTGGTATCTGATTTTGCGCAAAAAGAAACCAAAAAAGAAAAAGAGACAAAAGAACACCCCGAATACAAAGTTTCTTTTCAATTTCAATGGTCGAAACAATTACCAGCAAGCGGTGAACTCAAAAAAACTCCTTGAAACAGCTCAAACCCAATTATAATCTCCAATATTCCAAAAATGTGAACAATTGTGTTTTGATTTCTGTGACTTTTATAAGTTCATCAACTGTCTGTCTGTTGGGGCAAATTTTGCAAAAGTCTGTTGCTGAATAAAAACTTAGTTCTAAATGTGAGTATTTTCACCTCTTCAAATTTTAAATGCTCTTAGATCTGAAATTTTTCCGTTTAATTTGTGTTCATGTCATTGTTATCTATCGCGAACTAAAAAAAGTTCTATTTCTGAACTGAAATACTTTATATCTGAGCTAAGTTTATGGCCGGAAACTCTTCGTGAAATGTTTAAGTAAACTAAATATTTTCCTAAAATTCATTATTTCTCACTTTATTTCTGGTTAGAAGTTACCTAAATGTAGGCCATTTCTAGCTAGAAAAAAGTTTCCTGATGGAGCTGAACCCCCGCCCTGCCACATTGGATAGGTGTGCTAACCGCCAGGCAACATGACCTGATAATTTTGAATGTATATTGCAATTTAATGCAAAGCAACTCCACAAATAGTTTATTTCTAAACTGAGAAAAAAATATCATTTTTGTACAGAAAATACGAGAAAATTTGGCTAGATAATCTCTATAACATTTAAAGAGTCTCCGTTGGGTGCGGGATCGAACGGCGCATGGCTTACAGTCTAGCGCTTTCTCGGCTCAAATATGATTCGGCAAGCTGAATTAAAACATGAAAGCTGAAGTTTTGTTTGAATTTACATTGAGGATTTTTGAAATGGAGCGTTCAATTTCAAAACAAGAACTCTCGCGGCTTAAGCTTTGATTAAAAAATTTCAAAAAGTAGTTCCTTAATGATAAAAACTCCTTGAAATGTTCTTACTTTAGATATTTTCCTTGCACTAATAATTTTTAAAGTCAGGAAAAATTTGGAAGGTTCTTAATTGAAAGGTTCATGATTGAAACGCATCTAAGCTACATAGCTACATGAATAAAGAAAAATTAGATGAGTAATTTCAAGAAACAGCAAGCGTGCAAATTGTGGACCTCCAAATCTTGAAAAATCACAAGAAACGCCCTAACTTTTAGTCCTTCGAACTTAATTAGTTTGTTGTCATGCGGGATTCGTAGAACGACTGAAAAATTAGAAAGTATTTAGGTTTCAAGTATTCATCTGAGAAACAATTTTATTTTGAAATTCTTAATGATATTTTAGTTGGCTGGAAATGGATTACATCTTGCATAACTTTCTTTGAGCCATTTGCTCTCATTTCAGATTTGGCGGCAGGTCACCTAGCGGAAGTGTCCGATCGAATAAGAAGTCAGCACCAGGTGCGTTACATGGCTCCCAATCGGCCGCTTCCAGCCTCGCCTCGGCTGTTTTGTCCAACCACGTTGTACCAAACGAATCCTCGCCCCCATCTGTTAATAACACATCAGAACTGCCAAACTCACTGCAGGAAGAAAACGAAACGTCTTTTGAGAGACCTGACGATAGCTCCAACGCTCATTCTAGCCGATTTCAAGTCGGAGGTTCTGAACTGGAACCGAATGAAAGTTACGAAGTTCCGACTATCATTGTGAGAAGCCCGAGTCCTGTTATGCCTGAGTCAGTATCATAGACGAAATTCTCCGTCTACTTTAGTAGAAACGAGTAGAAAAGAGACAAATTTTAATAAATGTCCGAAATAAAAATACTATTAAATCAAATTATTAGAAGCCACTAAATACGATTCTGAAACTGACCAAAATATTCTTCCAGTTGTCAACTTTGGTGTAATTTAACGGACTACAAACAAATGAAATTTGTCTGTTAGAGAAACTTATTCACCCATCTGAACTTCATGACATAATCGGCGAGTTAAAACTGTGAGCCAAATATGTAACGAGTTTTGTGGGCGTTTAGCTGATTGGAAAAAAATGGATAAAGTTATCAATATCAAATTGTCTATTTATGATTAGATATAAATTGTCAAATGAAATTATTTTCTTTTATGCAGATATCTTTAAAGCAAGTGTTTTGATTGATAATGTACCCGGGTTGACAAAAATGCTTGTTATACTCTTTCATACAGTTTCATAGAGTAAAAGTGTATGTATGAAAATAGCAAAATAAGCATTTTTTCCATATATGAAATTGTATGATAAGCATTTTTTCCATACTATGAAATTGTATGATGAGCATTTTTTCCATACATGAAAATAAAAAAAAAATTTTGTTTCGAAATTTCGTGTTTCAAACGAAACACTAACCAAGGATTTTTTGACTTGAGAAAACGCAAAGTGTGATTGGCAGTTTACACGCAGATAAACTGCATTTGGTGGTTTTAGCCATAAAAGTTAATTGTTACATTTTCACATGGAAATATATACCAAAAAAGCAACTTTTTCAATATGGCTAGATAATTTTTAGTTTGAAATTATGATGGCTGAAAAAAAGTCCTGTTTTTTTATAAATTCATTTTTATTTTAGCAAATGAAACAAAAGATAATAATCGTGTTTACCAAAAAAACACTTTCTGTGATTTTTGGATTTTTTGGGTGAGAAACTCATCCTGGACTACGTTATAAACACAAAAATGTCAAATTATGCATGCAATTTTTTTTTTTCGTAAAATTTATTTCTTAACACAACAGCAAGTTTGCAGCCAGAAAAAGGATAAAATAATTTTTACCTCAAATTTTCAATTTTGTCAATGAAAAAAATGCATACCATAAAATTTTCATTTATGAAAAAATAACTACTTTATAATTGTCATTCAAGAAAATTATATGATAAGCATTTTTTCCATAGACTTCATAAATGAAACTGTATGATAAGCATTTTTCTTCTATGGACGTCAACCCGGGTAATGAAATTGCCTTCAATGAGAGGTTGATACAGAATTTGCCTTCAAATTCTTTAAAAATTGTACGTATCAAAACTCTACGAAAACTTGTTTGAAGCAATTCAACCTATGTTTTTTGTAGTCTGATTGCGATTCCAAAAGGTGACGATTTTTTTGGTGTCGAAAGATCAACACACAACCGGTCGCGCTATCAATAAAAATCATAACAATTTTGAATTTATAGGCCTTGTAATATTAAGCAAAAAAATAAGCAAAACAAGGTATATTAGTTTAGTTGTGAAAAGATCACTCAAAATTCCGAGAACTGTTGTTTAGAATAAAAAACTGAAAGTTTTCAGTCTCCAGTTCATCAGTTTTTTTTAACTCAGATAATTTCGAAATTAACCGAACTTTTGATGCGATTTTTAATTGACAAGGGTTATCGCGGGACAATTTGGAAAAAAACTCAAAGCTTGAGTTGAAGATAAAATTTCAAAAACGCTTGATATATATATTTTTTAGTTTCTCAGATAAGTTTTATGAATTTTACTACTCCTGGAGCAGGAAGAGCGCTTAGAAATAGAACTATAGTCTATAATTTTGCAAAATTTAAACGCTAGGACTTAAACATTGTCGGCTGAATCCACAAGCAAATCTTAAAACATTGAGTCAACTAAAAAAACGGATGTCAAGCTTTAGTATCGATCATCCGATGATTGAGGGAGTTAGTGCATTTTTTTGGAATCGGAAAATACGATCACCTAATGCCATCAAACTTGCAATTTGGTGCTCAGAGAAAAATGGGATTTGTTGCCAGCAAAAAAGATCATGAGTTGGACACTCTGATCAGTTCTCTCAAGTTCAAGGAGCGAAAATATCCTCATGAGCACAATCCGATGCCAAATAAACGCATGCCGAGTTTTTTAATGGCGTGGAGGAGAACTACAGAGAAGTATTGCAACATAAACTGGCCGGGTCTAACCAGGATTGTTTTTGTGACTTAGAATGATCTACTTGAACTGTTTAATGTTTGTTGTTGTAATGACTGTTTGTTCTTTGAGCTATCAAATTTAACCATATTCTGAATTTCCGTTTTTTTAATGTAGTGTTATAGTCTGAACTTTTTATGACAGCCCGTCAAAACTAGTCGTAGCAGGTAAAAAATCAACAAAACATCTCAAAATCAATTCAGATGAAATTTCGCTGGCTTGTACAATGAAATGTCTTGCTGACTAAAATGAACAAATCTTGAACAACTACAGTCAAAACTCGGAAAAGTCTAAATGAAATCGTATATATTTTATTTGAGAAGAATTGATTTACTTCAGTTTGTTGAGTTGACAAGAATTGGTTGTTTGACAGGAATTGAGATCACAGGATAAAAAAACCTAATCTTATAGAAAAATTTTCCCACAATTGGAACACTCCAAACGAACGAAGCCCAGGACACTGCCGCCACAAGTGATTGTGTCTAGTCTAATACACTCACCGAGGTCTTCTTCTATATGCTCCCGAATTGCCCGAGCCTTCCTACTAAGTAGCTCAAGGCAACCACGTAACCAAAACAAAAATCGAAAAAAAATTGTTCGGGTACTTATGACGAACCCGATCTAGAATCCAAAGTTGATCGCAAATCTCCGGATCAACTGGTTTAGTTAATCCTAATATACACCACTCGTAGGTAAGGGACCTTCTATTTCAACCTTATACTCCCTATAAGTTTTGTTAAGGAGGGTGGTTAAGGGGGTTAAGTCACCTCGGAGGATAACTTCGAAGGGTATTTAGAACGCTTAACTTACTCCGGAGGTTATCTTGGAGCGTCCCTTCAACACCTAAGTTGCTTTGGAGGGTCCCCATAAGTTCACTAAGGAGGGTTACTAAGAGGCTTAATACGCTCCGGAGGGTTCCCTGAAACTTATAAACTTTCAAGTTTCGCTTCGTAGGGAGTCAAAAGAAGCTAAATTTTCACTGGGGGTTATTTGAACTATTTCGGTGGGCTCCGCAAATACTCCTTACTAAAGAGGTCTATTAAGGTGTTTAACTAACTGCGGATTGTGGCTTCGGAGGGTTCCTCAAAAATTGCAAAATCAAGTGTTTTTGCCGCGGTAAAGCCTCCAATTGAGGTTTAACTTACTTAAAACAAGGTTGGTTGACCAGGTCAGCTTACGCAGTGGGATAAAAACAGGGTTTTATAAAAACTTCCGTCGGTCGGAGGTTTCCCTAAAATTTGGACCCTCCAAAATGAAAAATTTCAAACAATATTCTTTCTAGAACTAACAATCTAAAAACAGTTGCGGTTCAGAAAAGTGATTAAAACGTCGACTTATTGTTTTAAAATTATTTCGATCGGCTTGTTTGTCTTTCAGAAATCAACAAAAACGTGTTTGCTAAATTAGCCTTTTTTCTCTACCTATATCGGTTCTCAGGGACTTTTTTGCAATTCTTGCTGGAAGTGCTTAAAAATATTTGAAACGAGCTCAGTAGCCCTGTACAGAACTAGAATAATCCGAAAAAAAACGGACCAAAATTGGCATAGCAGTGCATTGGAATATTTCTCTGAACCAAACTCCATATTTTTTTCGATTGTTCTAGAAACATCTAGGCTTTTGTACTAAACACTTTATAAGTACAGTATAAGTATAAGGACGTATTAAAAACTACAAGCTAAAAAAGCGTGTGTGCTTTTGTATTGCGTAAGTAAGTATAATGGCTCTTCTGTATGTACAAAAGTTTTAAGCGTATGTAGTTTGTTTATAATTTTAGAAGTGTAACAAAGCCGATAACTCAATTCCAATTCAAACGCAACCTATTTTTACTGAAAGATGTAACAAGAAAAGCGAGAATATACCGCTACTTAGTCTACTTGTGCTATGTAGAAACTATACAGTACAAAAAAAAATTATTTTATGCGTACACATGTAATGCTTGTTGGATGTATATCTGTATTGTAGCGTGTTTGTATGTAAATACTTTAGAAAAAACAGTTTTTCTTATAACTTTCGAAACAACTCAGGTTTTGTAATGGTAGTTGAAAATACAATTTGATGTCAAAGTCATTTCAGTTTGTGTTCCCATCTTTTTGAACAGAGGTTTTTCACCAGATGTTAAATGTGTACAGTTTATCAATCAGCTACTGTATACGTACTTATGTTTGGGTGTAGGTAGATGCAGTTTTTGTATATGCAAGCAGGGCATATGGGTATGGTTGGATGGGTGTGGTTATATACTTTTGTATGTTGCTATATGCTTGTGTGTACATATTGTGCTTGTTCATCAAATCTAAATTAGTAGTGCACAACTAAAGTGTAACTATAAGTATAAAGTTCAATTAGATCTTAAGGCGTATAGTTTTTACCAGAACTCTAAAATAAATTAAAAATGCAGCCGTATAACTTTAACTGGAAGTAAAAACATACTCAGGTCAAATTAGTTTAGTTATTGTTATGTGGAATATATCACCAGATACTATGATTGTACCAGATACTACAATTTAATCAAACTGTTTGCCACTTTAGACGTATAGAGTGTATGGTAAAGGTTTGTATGAATATACTCATTTATGTGCCAATTTTACAAGCCGTAATACGTACCACCAGATTGTCGAAAAATCAAAACTATTGTTCAAATTTTTGATCTTAATTGGAAAAAAAAAATCAACGGGTCAACTTGTTTTTTTTTTATTATTTATCAAGTGCTGCTTCGTACGTTTCTATTTTAAGTGTTGTATTTATGATTTTATTTTTCATATGTTTTTTCTATCTTGTTTGTGATGCTTTTGTCTTTGAATTGTGCACGTCTACACTTGATTGGATGAGCATCTGCATGAGTAAAAAAAGCATTTAGCAACATACAAAAGGAAATCAACACATCCATATAACCATGACCATCTGCCGTGCTTGAATTTATAAAAATACCATCTACCTAAACACAATCTTAAGAATGAATACAGTAGTTGATTGATAATTTGTAGACATTTAAAATCTGGTGAAGAACTCAGATTAAAAAAGAAAGGAAACAAAATTCAAATGACTGGGAAATCAACTTGTAAATTCAACTATAATTACATCTCCTAAACTGTTTCGAAAGATTGCGTGCAAACATGCCACAAAACAAAAATACATCCAACAAGCACTACATGCGTACACACATAATTATACTTATTCGTAC